CCCCAACAGTCCTCGGAGCCTCTCTTTCAACATGGTCAGGACTGCCTGAGGCTTTTCTGGTGGTTGAGGCAGGACACTCCCTGGCTAGTGCCCCTCAGCTGTGAACTGTCCTCCCCTTCCATTTCCCTGAACTCTGCCCCACCCCACATTCAGCAGCAGAGCCTGGACTATGGGTGTCACTGTCCTGGGAACCACAGGAATTCAAGGGGGACCAAAAAGCTCAGTAATCAAGACATATATGTCCTTGTAATATTTTTACAAATGATAATTAACGTAAAAATATCTGGGGGATTAGGTTCTATTGCTAACTACTGAGCAGCTTGAATCAGCACAGTTACCCTTCCAGATGTGGAGGTCAGGGGTTGGACCAGTGTTCTCCGAGCTCAGGTCCAGGGTCAACAATGGGTCTGGGCTCCTCTGAAGATCCCAGGAGGTCCTGCCCACCTGCTCCGCTTTCTACAGCGCTGTGTTCCTCCCCTCTCCCCGTGCTGTCCTCAGTAGCCTCCTCCCTCATGTAGTTTATGTCCCTCTGCCTCTTCTTAGTACCAGAGAGAACACTGGCCACCCAGTGGTCCAGGACTAGCTGTCCGCCCTGAGCCTCGCCACAGCTCCAAGTTCCTCCTACTGTGCCAGGCACTAGGACGTGGACATTTGGGCGAGGGCCATTGTTCAGAGCCCACGGCACGAAACACAAAATGCCCAGATTTGCACTGAGGTCCAGGTGTCTGGGAGGGCTGAGGTTGGTGAGGGGTAGTCCTCAGGGTGTATTCTGGTGCCGGGCTGAACCTCGCTTGGTCTGACATTTTGATATTTTGTTTACCATGAGGTTTTTTGCATTCACTTTTATTCTTAAAAACACTGCCTTAAGTTATCCATCTTGGTTAGTGGGGTTTGAGGTATCCCTTACATTTTGCTTTCGGGAGCACCTCCCTCACCTCTCCCCGGCCCAGGTCCTGCTGAGTAAGAGCAAGAAGCGTGCCTCACCTTGCCCACTCACTTGTGGCCACCCCCACCCTTCACAGGCCCTGGGCTCCCCCAGCACGCCCCTTGCAGTGTGCTGGGCAGTCTGCACCCTCCATGCCAGCTGTTTCAGGCCCAGACCCCTAACCCTAGTTCTCACCACCCTGGAAATGAGACTGTGGGCTCTTCTCAGAATCTACCCCTAGAAGAACACAGGCCTTGCAGAAGGACAATCCGGGTGTGAATGAAGATCGGCCACTTACCCTCTGTGTGGCCTCTTGGCCTCAGCTGCCTTCTCTGAAATGGGGATGTCCATGAATACTTTTCAGGGGTGCCCAGGGAGGTGAGGTCAAATCGCACACGCTGGCCCTGGCCCTAGGGTGCTGGCCCTAGGCAGACCGAGCTGTGGACCGTCTGGTCCCGGCGCCCCTAGGCCGGCTGACTCAGCGCGGTTGCCTAACCTCTGGGCCGCCCCGCACACCTGCCCCGGGGCGGGCGAGGCTGAGTTCCAGGAGCTTGGCGAACAGGATCCAGGGTCCCTGGCTGCGAGGAGCCGAGGAGCCGGGGAGCGAGAAGGCGGCAACTGCGCAGGGAGAGCACAGCACTGGCTTCCGGCGGCCTCGCGTTGGAGCAGACCTCCCCCCACCCCGCGCCCCTCTGCACCGGGCCGCTGCTGCCGCCTCTGCGGGCAAGACGCTACCTGCCGCGTGCCGGGCATTCCAGCGCCGCACCCCCGCGCCGCCCGCGCTGCCCCTCGCCGCCCGCGCCATGGGCTTGATGCCGGCTGCGCGGGGCTCCTCCCGGGCCCGCGTCTGCCCGAGGCCGCCCTGCTGCCTGCCCGCCTGCTGCGCTCCCGCCTCCCCAGGTAGGGCCTGGGGGGCGCGGGCCGGGTTGCTGGGCTGCCTGGCCCCCGAGGCGGGCAGGACCCCTCCAGTCTCCTGTCGGGGTGGGTGGGCTACTTTCAAGAGGCGATCAGACCCCGGCAAGGAGGGCAGACTCGCGAGGGGTCAGTCCCCATCTCCCACCACCGCGGGCCGGCGTAGGAAGGGAACACAAACTGTGACCCAGAGCCTAGTATCTCCCCCTGGGCCTCAGAAAACCACCACCTGGTGGAGAGGATCCCCTGTACATGGGGCCTAGCCGTCCATACCCGCCCCCACGCCCTCTGTTTCACAGGGGAGGGTGAGGAAGCAGGGAGGGATCCAGGTGGGATTTATGTTCGCAGTGCACAATGCCCAGGCTGTGCGGTATCCAGGCAGAGCCTGTGGAGTGACAGAGACAGCTGTGGGACCGTCCCTCCGTGCATGAGTCCACAAAGGTGGGGTGGATGGCTGGAGACTGGTGGGTGTCCTGACCCAGGGTGGGGAGGATTGAGGCCAGGAGGAAAACCGGAATCATCCTGCTTTGTGGCTCCCTGAGGAGTGTGGGCTCTGCAGCCTCCCAGCCACCGCCACCACAGAGAGCCCAGGCAGGCAGATGGCCCAGCCCAACTGCCTACTCAGCCTGGATTCACTCCAAAGGGAATCCCAGTGCCTCCTTTTCCTGCTGGGCCTGGGCGGCCTCCCCAGGTGGCCTTGAAGGGGCCCTGTGTGGAGCTCATATGCAGCCCTGTACAGTGGCAGAGGCTCAGGTCACCCGGGATGCAGGTGACAGCCAGGCCTGTGGCTCCTTAAGCCTGCTCCACCTTCCTGGAGAGGGGAGCCAGCAGGGGATGGCTGCTGGGCAGAGACTGAGCCCACCTGTAGGTTCAGCCCCAAAGGGGCAGCCCTGCCAGTTTCCTTCAGGTGCTTTATGCAGTGTGGGCTGGGTTCTGGAGGAACCGCAGCCTGCTGGCGTGGCCAGCAACCTGATCCAGCAGACCTGCTGAGCCAGGTGTTGGCAGGAGGGCTGGGGAGCTCCACTGGGAGGGGTTCTCCCTACAGCCTGGGTAGCTAGAGTGCTAGCCTCTTGGTTGTGTCAACCCTATGTCAAGGCTCTGGAGCAGGGTGGCTAGGCTTACCCAACAAGTCCCAAGGGGCAGCAGCTTCCTCTCCTGGCCAGCACTGCCACCTCTGCTACCTGTCCAGGTGGCCCAGCCAAACCTGGTCCTGGGGACTGGCTCTGAGAAATGATGGGGACACATGGGCTTGCTTAGGTGTCTGCGCACCAGTGTGGGCAGCAAGGGTGGCCTGGGACATCCTCTGCACCTGCAGCCAGAGCACCTGGCCCGAACTTTGACCCTGCTACAGGCGAGGAGGACATGGGCACTATCTCCTACCCTACTGCCTTGGTTTGCTCCCCTGAACAGCCAAGGTAGTGTTGGTGATGGTCATAGTCCTAGAGTTACCATACCGTGTGTGACTCGAAGTGGACAGCATGGTGTGCCAGTGACCTCACCATACTTCCTTACATGCATGTGCACCTGCACATGTAAGCCTACGTGCATACTGTGAACACACATGTGCACATACGTGAACATAGCCCAAGTGCAGGGCACAGGTCCACTTGTGTGCACAGTGCACACGCCAGCCCCGGTGGCATCTGCTAGTGCTCACTCTGATGGCACATGGATGTTCTTCCAGAAGGGGAGTTTCCCTCCCCCGATTCTGTGGGCTTTGTCTTTGGGTCTAGCAGTGGGAGGAGCCTGATGAGTCCTGCTGTATGCCGGGCACCATATTAGGGACCGATCTTTTTGGGGGGGATGGAACCCAGGGTCTTGTGCATGCTCGGCAGGTGTGTACCACTGACTTGCATTGCAGGAGCCAGACTGATGTATCCAGAGAAGTGACGTAGCTGCTAGAGGACAAATGCACGCCAACTGCATCCTCAGAGGCCACATGGACAATATGGAGCTTGGGCATTGTGCCCTTGGCACACCCCAGGTCTCCGCATTGTGGGTTGGAGCTATGCCTGGCATCACAGAACGGGTTCCTTTCCTCCTGCTGCCCAGTGATGGGGTACAGAGCTGTGCCAGTCTCAGCTCCTTCCCCTCCACCTGGGCTGTGAGGAACCTATGGAGCCAGTCGCACATGTAGTGTGTGTTTCCTCAGCCAGAACTTCCTCAGGCCTCTTCCTCTCGCTGTTTTCTTCTATCACTCCTTTGCTGCTGTGTCCTGCCTAAATCCTCCATAAATGTTGGGATTACAGGAGTGCACCACTGTACCTGGCTACCCAGAGCTTTTTTATTTTACACAACTGAAAATCGGTCCCCATTAACCCTGTTCCTCGTCCCCAGTGTCTCTGATTTCCGCCAGTCTGGTGGAATCTTGCCGGATGTACTTGCCCTTTTGTGAATGTGAATGGCTGTCTTTTTGTAACATCCTTGGGTTTCGTCGGCATTGTGGCATCTGTCAGAACCTCTTGACCCTTAAACCTGCTTGTTCTGTTATGTAGACCTGACACTGTTACTCATCCACCCTGGACATTGTTGTGAGCAGTGCTGCTGCACATACGGGGTGCAGGGACCTCTTGGGCCCCTGCTTTCAGTTCTTATCCCCAAAGTGGCACTGCTGGTATATCTGGCACATACTTAGTATATGTACTAAGTTGTTTTAGGGCACCACCCTGCTGGACTCCACAAAGGCTGTGCTATGTTTTTTCTATTTTTGGCAGGAGCAGTGTGGCTCTGACTGGATTCCTTAGTAAGCAGGGATGCTGCGTCACGATGGTGTTGTCTGCATTCATGCACCATCCCTGTTGCCCACGAGCTACACACCTGCGTCCTTATTGCACACCGTGCTCTTGGGGGCTGCAGGCTTGGATGTGGTTGGGGGTGTCAGTGCTCCTGTGAGGGGTAACTGTAAACCCATCACCAGTCACCAAGTTCATGAGGCATGCTCCCTGGGGCTGTTGGCTCCCAGCTTGGATGGGATCTGCAGGCCCCCATGCCAGTCTTGTCTGGTCCAGGGTCCTGGGGCTGCCCCAATATATGTCCTCCAGTTTCTAATGTGTTTCCCCAGGAAGAACCTCCTCTGGCCCTGACAGCCCTCTGTTGTCCCTGCTGCCTGTCTCCTGCCACCGGCTGGGTGGTGGAAGGCATGACCAGCCCCTCTCTGTGCCAGGGATCTTTGGGCAGCGGCTGGAGGACACGGTCTACCAAGAGCGGAAGTATGGCTCCCGACTGGCCCCAATGTTGGTGGAGCAGTGTGTGGACTTCATCCGGGAGCGCGGGCTTGCTGAGGAGGGGCTTTTTCGCCTGCCTGGCCAGGCCGACCTGGTGCGAGGCCTGCAGGACTCCTTCGACTGTGGCCAGAAGCCACTCTTCGACAGGTGAGCTGTGGAGCTGGGCAAGTGGTACCCAGGAAGCCTGGGCACTCCATGGACACTAACTGCTTGCACTGGTGGGCATCTCAGCCCTCCCAGGGCACAGAGCCATGGGTCCCCTCGGGGATGATGCCAGGCACAAGCAGGAGAGAAGAGAGGCATCTGCTGACCGCCGGCCTAGACAAATTTAGGCACGGTTGCACCCAGGACTTGCTGAAGTCTGTCTTTTGGCCCTGCCTCCATCAGTGGCAAGATGGCACAGCCGCTTGGTTCCCTCTCCACTTGCCAGGGTCTGTGCCCACCCTAACCCATCTCCGGGGCTTACCCACATACTAGGTGCTGCCCCCTATCATAGGCTACTGCATTTACAGCCCAGGGCAGAGGCTGCGGGGAGCTGCAGCTGCTTAGGGGTCTCTTTTCCCTGGTACCTTGGGAAGCTCTGTCCTAACCCTGGCTCTCAGTGAGCTGTGGTGCACTCTGAACATTTGCTAGCCAGGCCTCTCCTGTTCTGTGCTCATGGGGTCTGGTGTAGGATTGGAGATGGCTCCAAACAAACTGCCTGGGTAATGCCCGGGGCACCTGGGCTTTCAGAAGCTCCCCAGGATGGGACCCTCGGGCCTAGTGCTCTTTATGACCCCTTGCAGGGTGCAGGCTTGCTGTGTGTGGTAGCCTGTCCACCTGCCAGGAAGTCTGCCCTCGGCCTCCATCTGCCATGAAGCCTCTTCCTGGCTTTTCCTGTATTAGGAACCCTTCCAGGCTGGAAGCCATCAGGACTCAAACTGTTCCATATCTGTCCCTCAAGCCCCCTGGCACTGCCCACTTTGCTCTGGGTGTTGCAGAAGGTCCCCTGGGTATGAGGCCCTTGTGGGGTCCTCGGAACTGGAGGATAAGGAGGATGCCACATATGAGGGTCTGTGGCTGCCAGCTGATGTGCCTCCCGTGGAGGATGTGAACAGCAGGGGTGGCTGGTGTGCCCCAGGCCAGTCTTGCTGATCGTCATGCCCACTGTGCCATGCACTGGCCCCCTCAGGCACCATTAGCTAGGAGGCCCCCAGATTGGCAGGCTCTCCTTTGGGCTGCTGAGTTGGGCCGGATCCACAGTGGAGTGGGAGGGAGGGGACTCATGAAAAAGCCTTGCCCTAGCTGTTGAAGGAAAGACCTCTGCAGGTGAGGGGAAGGAGGGAGTCAGGGACTTCGAGGAGGTCAGTGTGTGAGGGGGCTGAACAGTGGGGCCTGGGGCTGTAGGAAGGAGGACTGCAGAATGGAGGGGCCACTGTGTCCCAGACCCGTGACCCTTGATGTCCTCCCTAACTCTTCCTTTTTGTGACACGTGCCTTTCTGCAGGGGACCTGATGGCTATTCTGCCTCTGTCCCCCAACCATCCTTACCTGGTGGCTGCTGCCCCTGAATCCCTGGAGCCCCAGAGGACAGGGACCTTAGGCTCAACCTGGAGCCCCAGGTGTGGCCAGCCCAGTTGGCCCAGGCGAAGGCAGTGGCGGGCAGAAAGTTGCACATCTGATTGGAGAGCGGAGGTTGGGACAGGGCAGGGAGGGGCCCTGCCAGTATGAGTTTGGAGTGCGTGTCAGGACATAGAGCCCCAGAATCCCAGATATCAGGGCCAAGGGGACCCAGAGTTTATCTCAATGAGGCTGGCATGAGATGCAGCCAGGCCTGGTGGCACTTTAGTGACCACAGCCTCCTGGTCCCAGCCTGTCTTTGCTGAGGTCTTCCCAAGGGAGAGGAAGGTTTGGCCCAGGGGAAGCAGATGGGCTTCCGGGGGCCCAGGTACAACCTGAGATGCAGCTTGGAGGAGAGACTGGCTGTGGACCACGGACTATGCCACAAGGCCCAACAGAACCTAGCGAACCCGGGCCTGGGACCTCTGTAGCCTGGGCAGCTCCAGGCCACATGCAGGGGGACTGACGCCAGGCAGTGGGTTCACAGGGCTCCAGAGACAGGTGATAAGCACAGATGCCTGAGTGTAGACAGCAAACAAGAGGCCAGGGTCCTGCCTGTGACCTTCACTGCAAGGCCAAGGGCCAGCCCAGGAGCTGAGCAAGCGCAGGCTAGGGCTGGCAGCACCGGGCAAGGGCCACAGGAAAGCACTGCCTTGCAAGGGACCTGGGGATGGCCACCAGGAGGTTGACTGCAGACTTGAGGCAAGAGGCTGCTATGGGATGCGGTGTGTGTGTCACTGCCGCAGACCGCAGTGTCCTAAGGCTCACGCTGTCACCATCCCCCCCACCCCCAGCACGACAGATGTGCATACAGTGGCTTCCCTGCTGAAGCTGTACCTTCGGGAGCTGCCTGAGCCCGTGATCCCCTTCGCTAGGTACGAGGACTTCCTCAGCTGCGCCCAGCTGCTAACCAAGGACGAGGGGGAGGTTAGTGCCCCAGGGACCCATCCTGGGAGGGGGGCTGGCTGGGCACACACACTCAGAGTCAGGACGCAAGCTCCTCAGCTTTCAGTGTCCTACATATGTGGACCAGAAGCCTGGTGTTTGTGGGAGGAGAGGGGCCGGGAGCATCCTTCCCGTGTGTGTGTGTGTGTGTGTGTGTGTGTGTGTGTTTTGGGTAGGGGTGAGTTGGTGCATCCTGCTCTGTTTGGCAGGTGGGGGCATCCTTCTCTGTTTTGAGGGAGGTGGCCAGAGCATCCTGCCCTCTCTATGGCCCCCATCCCGCCCTGTGTCTAGACCTCAGTGTTCAAAAGGGCCAGGTGCCCCCTAAAGGCCACCTTGGTCGAGGGAGCCCGGCTGTGGCCATGTCTCAGTGGATGCTCCTATCCCACTTCCCTCTCCCATGCTTGGCTCAGGCCACCCAGGCCTGGGGCTCCAAAATAAAGATACCTTCTACCCATTTCTGTCCTTTCCCCTCTGGAAAGAGTTTGAGGGCACTCAGGACAGAGGGGAGCAGATGTGTCTGCCGCCCTGGGCACTGGGGCAGGGGAAGCAGTTTGCCTTCCCTGTGGCCTGCCTGGCAGATATTTGTCCCTTGCTAGTGAGCTGAGACATCCCTGGTGTCCCTGATGGCGCTTACCCCCACCTGTGCCCAGAAAGGAAGTCAGCCTCCTCGGAGGTCACAGTGTGGCCACCACTTGCTGCAGGGGACAGAGGTGGCCTGGCTTCATCCCTTGCCCACATCCAGCCCAAGCCCAGTGACAGCAGGGCCTTGTGGTGGGTGTATGAAGCTGTTTTCTCCTTTCCCAAGGGGACTCTGGAGTTGGCCAAACAAGTGCGCAACCTTCCTCAGGCCAATTACAACCTACTCAAATATATCTGCAAGTAAGTGGCTCGGGGTGGGGCCCTTCCCGCTCTGGCTCTGCACTCCTCCCCCACCACCATGGACACACTGTCCTGTCACAGAGGGAGTGGGGGCCGTAAGAGGACACTGCCCCGAGCTCGGAGTGCTTGGGTCCTATGGGGACTCCTCCTTTCATCTGTGCCCCTGGGCATCTGTGGGGATCACAGCCCTTCAGCGCCTTCCAGTACAATGTCAGGGCTCATGCCCATGGGTGTCTGGCTTTCCAGGGCATCCACCCCAGTCTTGTAAAGTCCTGCAAATTTCTTCTGTGCCAAGGATGGTGGGGCCCTGGCCCCTGGCCTGTGGCCTTCGTTTCTGATGGCCCCCTGGATGGCCCTGATCCAGCTTGGCAGGTGCCGCTGGCGGTGTGCCAGCCACTGTGGAAACCTGGGGGCGTGGCTAGGCGGGACAAGGCGGGGCCAGGGTGGGGATGGGGGTGGCCGAGGAGCGGCCTAGTTGGGGTAGGCCCTGGTAACTCGCAGCCATCTAACCATCAGAGTTTGCTTGGTTCTCCTTCCTGGGCAGGTTTCTGGATGAAGTGCAGTCCCACTCAGACGTCAACAAGATGAGCGTGCAGAACCTGGCAACTGTGTTTGGACCTAACATCCTGCGGCCGCCACTGGAGGACCCAGTGACCATTATGGAAGGTGCTGGGGAGGAAGGCGCACTGGGCGCCGGGGCTCATCTTGCTCCTGGCGCGTTCTCAGGCTCGGGAACAGTGGCTCAGTTCCCCACCTCCCCAGACCTCCCCAGGAGCCTGCCAGTGGGGTCCGCTGTAAAAGGAAAAGGAAGCTTGTGCCGTGGCTGGTCCCGGCCACGTGGTCGGTCACTGGAGCAGCTGAGAGCAGGCCCTGGTCTCTATGGACCGAGTGGCTAGGAGGAGGGGTGGGAGAAGTCAGGGCTCTTGCCCTTATACACAGGTAGTTTTTGCTTTACTTTCACAAGTAACTCTCCAAGGTTCTGGGATGTCACAGCTTTGGAAACCCTGTTGCTTTTCTATGATAAATAATAATAAAATGATATTTTGGAGCAGGTACCAAGGATTGAAGTCAGGGCCTTGCACTTGCCAGGCAGGAACGGTGCCACTGAGCTATATTCCCAGCCCAATAAAATGATTTTTAAAAAGCAACATAGGCTGAGGCAGGAGGATTGCTTGAGGCCAAGAGCCCAAGGATAGCTTGGGCAACATAACAAGACTGGTTCTTAAAAAAGAAAAAACTCAGCAGTGGCAGCTCCTTTTAATATGCCTATTTAGTGCTTTTTATTTTTTACATTGTTTATTAGTACATGTCTGCAGCACATAATTACATTCACTGTGGGACGTTGGTCCATGTACATAAACATTTTAATTCTTTTCACTTTCCCTTCTCTTCCCTTCCTCTTCTACCTCTTGGTCCCCTTCCCATTGCAAAAGATCTATTTTTTTCTAATATCTATCTTTTATTTTGCTCTTTAAATTATTTATACTCTGGGTTTCTCATATAAGGGAAACTGTGCAGTTGCTTTGTGTGTCTGATTTATTTCACTTCACATTATGGTCTCAAAGTGCATCCACTTTCCTACAAATGACTCAGATTTATCCTACTCTATGGCAGAGTAGTGCTCCATGGTGTATAAATACCACATTTTCCTTATCCATTCATCTGTTGATGGACATATAAGGTGCTTCCCAGATTTAGGCATTATGAGTTGGGCTGCTATAAACATACGTGTGCATGCATCCCTGTAATATGATATCTGTAGCTCTTTCAGGAAGGTACCTAGGAGGGGAATAACTGGGTTGAATGGAATTTCTATTTTTCTGGTTTTTTTGTTTGTTTGTTTCATTTTTTTGGTACCAGGGATTGAACTCAGGTCCTTCTGCTTGCGAGGCAGGCAGTGGAACCATAGTTTTAGTTTTTTGAGGAATCTCTTCCCTGACTTCCAGAGCAGTTGTGCTAGTGTACATTCCCATCAACAATGGAGAACCCCACCCCCCTACCCAAGCAGGCTCACCAGCATTTGTTGTTATCTGATTTCTTGATGACAGCCATTCTTTCTGGAGTAAGATGAAATCTCAGTGTTGTTTTATTTTGCATTTCTCTAATGGCCAGTGACGTTGAACATTTTTTATTGACCATTTGCACTTCTTCTGAGAAGTGTTTATTTCAATTGCCCATTTTTTGATTGAGTCTTATTTCGAGGGGGCCTAATTTCTTGAGTTCTTTATATATTCTAGATGTTAGTCCTCTGTCTGAGGGATTGCTGGCAAAAATTTTTTCCCATTCTATAGGTGGTCTCTTCACTCTTTTGATTGTTTTCTTTGCTGGGCAGAAGATTTTAAATTTGATATGATCCCATTTGTTGATCATTGATGTTATTTCTTTTGCAATTGGGATTCTGTTCAGAAAGCCCTTGCCTACGCCCATGTTTTCAAGACTTTCACCTGTTTTATCTTCCAACAGAGTCGATGTTTCTGTTTTAACATTTAGATCTTTGATTCATTTTGATTTTAGTTTAGTACATGGTAAGAAATATGGGTCTAGACTCAATCTTCTGCCTGTGTAGTGCTTAATTTGTATCAGTTTCAGTCCTCACTACCAGCCTGTACTATGACAATCACCCTTGTTTTACAGAGGAACTAAGGCTCAGAGACGGGAGCCATGCTGCCCGCCCCTGGGCCAGCTGAAGGCCCAGATCTTTGCAGGGCATGGCCATGGGACCGTGTGGTGGTGTGGGGTGGCATGGAGCTGAACTGGTCCCCACAGGGATGCTGCTTTGGCTCAGACCTTCTGGGGCCAGGAAGCCCAAGTCCTCACCTGTCTGGATACCAAAGTGCCCACCTGGTCACCAAGCTGTGCCCTGCCTTGTCTGGCAGAGAAATCCTTGCATAATTCCTGGGTTCTTGGCTATCTTCTATGCCAGGGTCCACCGGAGTGCCCAGCCTTCCTGACCTCTTGGCAAACCTCCTGCCTCTGGTCTTTGGTCGTGAGGCTGCTGGGTAGATACCAAGGCCCATCCTGCATGCCCACCTCCACTGCTGCCCCGGAAGAGCCACGGGAGCTGAGTCCCCAGAACTAGGGGTGGGAGCTGCATCTCAGTGTGAAGAAGGGACTGTGTGTGCTCAGGGTTTGGGTAGAAGGCACTGTGTGTATTGTTTGGGTGTGTGTGCAGTTGTGAGTGTGGCCACACATGTAAGACAGCCCTGGACCACCAAAGGGTGGACAGCCACATAGGTGCCACCCTGTGTCCAGGCTGTAGCAATCCTGACCACTTCCAGCCATTCACAGCAAAGCCTTTCTTCTCTCTCCCGCAGGTACCTCCCTGGTCCAGCACCTGATGACCGTCCTCATCCGAAAACATGGCCAGCTCTTCACGGCACCCACCCCAGAAGGGCCCATATCGCCGTGTAGGAGGTCACCGTGCACTGTGGGCTGGGGCTCTGAGGAGGCCAACAAGGACAGCCAGGGCAAGCCTGGGGACCCTGGCTTGCCCACACACAGGACCTCATCCCTGGATGGGCCAGCTGCTGCCGTGCTCTCTAGGATGTCCCCCCCGGGCCAGGGCAGTCCCAGGAAGAGGGTGCAGACGCTGCCAGGCTGGAAGTCATCTTTCCACCAGCGGGGACCAGGGTCAGTGAGCCCACAGCAGGGCAGTACGTCCCTGGAGGTGCCTGTGGCCTCTGGAGGCGGCAGCAGTGGCTGTGGTGGCCGGGGGAATTGGCTTATGAATGGGCTGTCGTCTCTGCGTGGCCACCACCGGGCCTTATCGGAGGACCGGCTCAAGGACTCCAACTCCACACAGAGACTTTCCACCTATGACAACGTGCCCCCGCCCAGCCTCTTTTCCAGCATGGCCAGTGTGGCCAGCACAGGGTGGTCCCCAGCCTCATCACCCCGAGATGCCTCTGTCAGTAGCTGCACGGCCTGCAGGGCCAGCGACTCGTCAGCTGGCTGCTCCCTGCATACTGAATGGGCCCTCCAGCCGTCCCCACTCCCCAGCAGCAGTGGTGAGGACAGAAGTTCCCCTGACCCAGCCTACGGCCCAGATGAAGCAGGGGTGGGCGACAGCAGCAGCCAGGAACCCAGCAACCCTGGAAGCCCTGGCCAGGACCCTGCCCACCGCTGCCGGGTGCTCCAGGGCCTGGTGGCCGAGCTCAGGGCAGAACTGTGCCACCAGCGGACCAAGTACGAGGCAAGCCTGAGAAGGTAAAGGGCCGGCTGCAGTGCCAGGCCAGCCCCGCCTTGCTGCTGCCTCTGGGAGCACCCCAGGCTACTGGGTTGGAATGGGCACATCTGTTGGAGCTGGTGCCTGGCGGGCCTGCTGAAGGCTTGGGCCAGGCTATGCTGTCTAGGTGGGGCAGTCTGGGCCTGGGGTCCCTGCTGTGCTGTGGATCCTGCAGCCCCAGGCTCTGGTGCCCCAGGCCACCCTGCCAGGCAGTTAGATTCTTCCCAGACACAGGGTCCTCCCTTCCACCTTGCCACAGTGATGGCTGTGATGGGGGGTCACTCACACATGGGTCCCTGTCCTTCCCCCAGCCTGCCTGTGAAGAGGGTCCTCCCCTTTGCAGAGAGGCCAATCAAGCTGAGAGGCTGAGTTTTCCCCAAGCTCTGGGACAGCCACACCAGACAGCAGGCACAGGCATCCCCCAGTGCCCTTGCCCAGGCCCCTGCCAGCTGTCTGACTTGGCAGATGGGCATGCACCCAGTAGGGTCTGCAGGCACTGTACCCCGACCGTGGTGGTGCATGTGGAAGGTGCTCCTGCTTCTCTGTGCTGGGCTCCTCAGTGGGCTGAGAGGGCAGCATGTGGCCCTTTTGCTCTGCTGGAAGTGTCTCCTGGGTATCTAGGGTCAGGTAGGGTCAGGCAGGTTGTGCCCAGCATGGCTTGAAGGGCCGGTGGGTGGGCTGGGGCTGTGCAGAGGAGAAAGGAGATTCCAGAGCCAAGCCCTGGATGGAAATGGGGTCTGCATCTTACGCCCTGTTCAGAGTTGGCCTTGGAGGCTTTGGCTGCTGTGGGCCAGCTCACAGGTCACAGGGCACAGGAAGAGTGACCAAAACGCTGGCTAGGGATGCTGGAGGTGGACAACCTCACCCACTAGGCTGCTGTGGGGCCACCTCAAGGGCTCCCCAGTGGAGGGGAGGTGCCGTTTGGCAGGAGTCCTGCCTTCAGCTGCCCGGCTGTGACCCTAGCCTGCCAAGTGCCAACCTAGTGTCCTCATGGTTACTGTCTGTCCTGAGCTCAGCCCAGTGCTGTGTGTTGTCTCCAGGGGTTAGGAGCCTGGACTGCCTGGGTCACTGTAGCTCGGTGGGTGAAGAGTGAGGTTCCCAAAGGCCCGAGGGGGTCCCTGTGAAGAGGGGCACTCAGGGAAGACATGAACATTCTCTGCTCATGTGGCGTCACCAGGTCTGGGGTGCTGGGGAGGGGTGTGCTTGCCATCTCCTCTTATCCCCATGGGGAGCCTTCCCCAAAGAGAACCTGTTGTCTGCCTAGAGCAGATGCTTGCTGGGTGCTGGGGATACAGCTGTGACCAAATCCTTGCCCTCCTTGTTTGGGAGGACAGGACAGAGAGGCCATACCCCCAAATGAGTCTTCCTGTGTCTGGAAGTAGACAAGGGATGAGGGCAATAAAGTGGGGTGGAGGGATAGAGGATGGGGAGAGGACCCCAGGACCACGCCAGCACCCAGAACAGTGACTGAAGAGGCCTGGATGCTTTGGCCTATTGGGAGGGAGGTGACAGTGAATGAAAAGCCTGTGGACGGTTGCAAGCACTGTGGTCCCTTTGATGGCATGCCTGGCTACCATGCAGAGCTTGCTGGGTTCCAGGGTGGCACAGACAGGAGGCCATGGGGTCCAGGACCATGGTTGGGTGGTATGGGGCACGGAGGTGGGAGCAGCAGTCAGACTGAGTGCATTTGAAGGTGGAGCCAAGTGGGTTCTGTGGACTGTGGGGGTATGAAAGGGAACTGCCTGCAACCAGGACCATGGTATGGCCTGCAGGGGGTGCCCCATAGTGGTGGGGCAGCTGGAACCAAGGCGCTCAGTGCTGACCATGCTCTTTGAACAGGCCAAGTGTCGTATAGAGAGGCTGAGGGTCAAGAAGAGCCTGGACATGGTCACTCAGGTGTGGCACAGAAAGGAAGAGGGAGAACTGGGACCTTAGCTGGTGGCAGCAGGGGACCAGGAAGAAGTGGGTGGGCCCTCTTTCTGATAGTGTGCCCTTGCCTAAGGGAAGGGAGGCCTCCTTTCCAGGACCATACTCACTGCTGGGTGGGAACCGGTACTGGTTCCACGCACACAGCATGTGGGACTCGGTGATGGTCACTAGAGTCTGTCCTGTCACCACTGCGGGGCTTGTATGCAGCCAGATGGGTCCCAAGCTTCTGTGTAGCCTCAGGGGGCAAGCAGGAGCTTGTCCTCTGGTCACAGAAAATGACAACCTTTGCACAGCATGGCATAAACCTCAGGGCACAGGAGTGAAGTGTAGGGGACAGCCCCCCTCCAATCCTCAGTGGGGCAAGTGACTGGGCAGGTGACAAGTCTGGCCAGGCAAGGTCTTTGTGTTTTACTGAGGACACAGGTCCTCAGGTGGCACTTCTGGGTCACAGGGTGGGATGGCCGCTGGCTCACAGGCTCATGTGGAGCAGGTGGGTCATTCCCTGCCCTGGAGACTCCCCAGGACTGCCCCTGCCAGGGTGGTGCTTCTTGGGCTCTGAAATTGTCTCTTCTTGGTGTTTAAGCATCGAAGAGGGCAGTGTAGAGCTGCGGGGACAGCTGTCTCAGCTGGAGGAGGAGCTGGTCCAGGAGAGGAAGAAGCACTCCATGTTGGAGATCAAGCTGCGAAACTCAGAGCGGGCACGGGAGGATGCAGAGCGCCGGAACCAGCTGCTGCAGAAGGAAATGGAGGAGTTCTTTTCCACCCTGGGGAGCCTGACAGTCGGGGCCCAAGGCACCAGAGCCCCAAAGTGAAAGGACCAGAGGGCACACTCTGCATGCCAAGCCAGAAGCCTTGTCACTGGCCCAGGCAGGACAGGTGCTTGGAGACAGACCCAGCTACCCATGGACTCTGGGGCCCCCCACACCCAGGCAGGATCTGCTGCTGTTCCCTCTGACTACCCAGGGTCTGGCAGGCATCAAAGGGGATGGTGACTAGAGTGACTTTTAGCCTCTCACCCAGGAAGAGCCCCAGGGCTTCTCACTGCAAGCTGCGGTATCCAGAGCTGCAAGCTTCCAGGAGCCATCGTGCTGTATATTAAATACGTTCTGACAGCATGGTGCATCCTCTTGCTTCATTCTTTGCCTGGGCCAAGTGGGGTTCATGAAGTGGCATCTCCTGTTTTTCAGAAGGCTTGGGACCCTGGGGTAGGGACACAGAGCTCCCCAGGTAGCTCAGGGAGCTTCAGTCCCATTGTTGGGGAAGCTGGACTTGCACAGAGCTGTTATGTTGAACTCTGCCACCCCATACCCAGGCTGCCCTGTCCTCTACCCCTTGCTCCCTGTCAGCCTCTGCAGCATGCTTCTCTCTGCAGCATGGTTCTCTCTGCAGGGCCAGCTCTGCTCCAGGGCTGGGGCCCATGTGCCCAGGGATGTGGCACATCCAGGCAGGAGAAGAGAGCCTGCTGGTCCTTCACTGCCCCAGCTCCCCCCAGGTCTCCCCTGCCCACTCCCCATTCCCCAGGTCCTCTGCAGACCTCAAGTCACCACCTGAAGGACCCCCCCCACAGCACACACAGCCCAGGCTGTGCAGGAGGGGCTGGCCTGGGATGCAGCAGGAAGAGGGCCACCGTCCTTCCACCTGGCCTGTATCCTTACATAAGCCTGGGGTGGTTTTTGGGAGTGGAAGTTACCAAAGTGCCCCAGTTTCTGACTGCTGTCCCTAGAGGCCATCTCCCTGGAGTCAGGACTGATGGATGACAACACAGGCCGTTAGCACAGGACCTGCTGTAAGTGGCAGGGTCCCTGTGCTCCCCTGCTGCCCACCATGAAGGGCAGCTGCTGACAACCCCAGGCAGCTAGCTGGGGGCCTCCACAGCCACAGGAACTGGGGCAGGCAATGTGGAGCTCTGTGGTTTGGTGAGACATCTGCCTATGCTCTGAGTGCTGTCCTGTGGACCGTGGCTCCACCCAGCTGCATTCAAGGAGAAAGAGGCAACTTTCATTGCTCACAACTCAGCAGGACAGGAATTGGCCCCATTCTAATTTTAATACATGTACTCCCGAAGCCAGCTTGGGCCCTTTCTTCCTATTCAGAGGGGAAACAGACCTGAAGATAGGTGGGAACACCAGCGTATTTTGGGGATCTTGAGTTTTCTCATCACAATACTGGATTTTGCTGACTTTGACCTGACCTGACCAGGCTGTCAACAGAGAGGAGAAAACTAGTGTCTCAGGTGGGTTTCACGGGTTGAAAGGGAGCTTGTCCATCTCAGCCACAACCTGGGCAAAGCCCCTACTTCCTGCAAAGTTCCTGCCAGGTAATGGGGGCTCATGAACCTAGCTGCCACCTACTGGCCAGGTTAGGATCTGCAGCTGCAGCTTTTACCTGAAAAGTAACTGGCATTATTGGTTCTTGTCCCATCTTCTGTAGCCAGCTCACTGTCCCATGACACATCTGGCTTCCAAGTGCAAAGCTCACTGGCGCCTGCAGCTGATCTGTGGTGGGCTCTGGCCTGGGACCCTCACCTCCATCCACTTCTGCTCTCCCCAATGGGGTTATATTTATCAATCCTGTTCCCACTGTGGGCTCTAGTTGTTACTGTGATGGCAACATTTAAGTTTTAAGTAAACCAAAGAATTATGACTGAATAGATAGATCAATTCTTTGAAAATCCAATGGGATGCTTTAGAAAGACTCAACAGGCCAAGTTAAAAAATACTGTCAAAATAAGTATAGGTAAGTAAACCATGCAATCATGGAAAATTGGCAAAAGTGTCTGTTAACAAATTTCTTCAATAGTGTTTTAAAATTGGTATTTGACTCTAAAGAAAAGCATCTGGAAATTGTAGAAGTCTTACACAGAAAAGCAAAATGGTTGGCTTACATTAAAAATGGCTAGGTGCAGTGGTGCAGGCCTGTAATCTGTTACCTGGGAGGCTGAGGAAGAGGTCACAAGTTCAAAGCCAGCCTGGGCAACTTAGTGGGACCCTGTCTCAAAGTCCAATAAAAAGGTCTGTGTGTGGCTCAGTGGCAGAGCATTTGCTTTACATGTATGAGGTCCTGGGTTCAATCCCAGTACCAGGGGAAAAAAAGTCTGATAAATATACTTTAAAAATTTGTAATACAATTTTACTTTATTTTTATAATACAATTTTAAGGATGAGAAAAAGAGAGGAAGAAGGAGGAAGAGGAGGAAGGGGGGAAGAGAGATGGCTTTTGAATGCTGGTCCAGTAATGAGCCATATTGGTTCCATACAGTGAAAGGGCAGAGGGTTTGGGGATGGAACCCCTGTACCCACGGCTTTCCAGCCTGAGGGTAATAGGCAGAGTCAGGAACACCAGCAAGTTTCTCGGATTCTCCTTCTGCTCTGCCCCTGCTGATCCCTCTGTGTCATGAATTCTGTTCAGGACAGGTGAATTCTGTTCTGACCACAGTGAGCTCCCTGCCGAGCAGCAGGGTACCACCCCCACCACTGCCCCTGCCCCTGTACTGGTGTCCACTGACTGGTGACCCACCCCCTGCACAAGGCCAGTCTTTCCCACCAGGCACACTGCTGTTCCCTGCATCTCCCAAGCCTGGGGACACCAGGACCATGGAATCTTAGGGGTATTGTGGTCTGTGATAAGCCAGGATAGCTCTATCTTGCTGTAGGGAGGCCGTGGGTCTCAGGAGGGTGCTCTCTAGTACTGTCCTGCCAGCAGTCCCCAGAGCCTTGCATCCATGCCTGGCTGGCTCCTTGGAGGTGCCTGGAACATTATTCCCTGCACCTTACAGCAAGGATCAGGAGCATGAAGGAGCTGGCCCAGTACTAGGTGTGAGGTAAAGGACGGGCTGCAGGCCAGGGAGGCTGACAGTAGAGTGGTGTGCTCCATTGGTCCCTCGGAAGATGCTAGCTGCAGGGAGCACCAATCAAGCCCTGGAGGTGGCTGGGAATAGCAGTGGAAACCCTCGAACCAGGCTGCCTGGCTGTAGGCTGGGCCCCAGCATGCTTAGCAAGCTGTGTCAGCCAGGGCCAGTCTCTATGGTGATGTCTGGGTATCTGTCTTAAGATGACCCATCTGTGTCTTAAGATGCTTTGGAGCCAAAGCAGAGCCAAGTTTGAGAGACCATGCCCAGTCCCCAGCCCATCCAGCCCTTCTAGCCCCTGAAGTCACAAGTACCTGCCCCCTGGGACCAGGAACTGCCCTGGTCAACAGCAGCTGCCCAAGAGTGCCTGGTAAAGAAGCATTTTCTCACCTCTTCCTTCTGGCCATCTTCAGCCAGCTTTCAGCATCTGTCCAACCAGTGTTAAAAGGAAACAAGAGGCTGGGTCTGGGCCATGTAGGGCTAGGATAGGGCCTTCTGGCTCTGCTCCTCTTTGGGGATGGCATGGATTCCAGGTGTAAGAATCTCTTTCCTTTCCCAGTATATCCAGAGGGAGAAACAGTATTTGGCTTCTATGAGGTCCCTGAGGACACAACTGCCCTTCAGAGATAAGACACTGGAGCCCTATCATGCCATTTTCTGGTGACAAGCAGAGCCATGAGAGCAAAGCCACTTGCTGTGACTAGAGCAAGGCCACCATTCTGCTCTGGAACTGCGGCATGAGGCCAATGCTCACAGAGCCACAGTGATTTCACAGCATGACATGCACATCCTGACCTGCATTCTGAGGGCCATGAACTGCATTCTTTGAAAGTGTTTTTTGTTTTTTTTTTTTTGGTACCAGGGATTGAACTGGGGACCTTGCGCTTATGAGGCAGGCAGCAAAACCACTGAGCTAAAACTGCGGCATGAGGCCAATGCTCACAGAGCCACAGTGATTTCACAGCATGACATGCACATCCTGACCTGCATTCTGAGGGCCATGAACTGCATTCTTTGAAAGTGTTTTTTTTTTTTTTTTTTTTGGTACCAGGGATTGAACTGGGGACCTTGCGCTTATGAGGCAGGCAGCAAAACCACTGAGCTAAATCCCCGGCCCTTGGAGTTTCCTATGACAAAAATGGTGTGTAGAAAACATCCTCGGAATTTGCTTTCCCATCTGACATGCTGACCGCCTATGTCCCTGTCAGGACAGGCTCTTGTGTCAGGGGATTCCAGGTGTGGTATCAGCACCAAGTAGGCACAAAGGATGCCAAGCCACTAAACCCCACATGGGGTAACATGCCCCGTCTTGGCATCTGAGCTGTGGTGGGTGGTGGACCCAGCGAGCAAGTACACACACACATGATCACAGGCACACATACTCAGTTTTCCAGTTTCTGAGCCCAACTGTGATCCTGACCCTCAGCTCTTTAGCTTCATCTCTCACAATTTCTTCACATACCCAGGCCATGCCTGGCCAACCCATGCCCAGCCCATGGCTTTCAGGTCTCCCACCAGGGACCCCCCCATCTTCAGTGCACTGTCATGTCCTCCCACCCATCCCTCCTCTACCACTTGCCAAGGTCCTCATTCCCAGTCCCCAACACAGCACCACTGCAACCTGACCGGCTGCCCTTTCACCCACCTGTCCTCCCTCCCAGCCCCCAGCACACTCAGCCAGGTATGCTTTCGTTAACTGATGAAATTCAATGAAGCATGTGTTAAACAGAAACCTAACACCTCAAAGCACATGTGAAGTTATCTTTTAGTTTCAAGTAAAGTTTAAAGAGATACTGAAATATAACCTCTAATAGCAAAAGATTTTAAGCCACAAAATCAGTACACCTCAATCTTCATTTAAAGTTACTGGTCCTTTTTAGGAACATTTTAAAAAGTACCTGAGCTAACAAGTATGAATTGTTCCATGTTATGACTGGGTGGAAATCTTAAATGATCACTCAAATAAAAACAGGTTTAAAATCAACATTGTGACATCTGCTTTGTCACTTGGCTGGTCAATGGAGGGCTCTCCAATGACTGTGAGGAAACAGCACTGGACAGCATCCATACAAGGATGAGCCAGGGCAGCACTCGGGAAGAGGAGTAAATAAGTCCTCTCCGCTCTCTGGGTGCAGAGCAGGGAAGAGCGGGGAGCCAACCATGCAGGTCGCACAAAGTCATCACCCTGAGGCTGGTGGCTTCTCGCACAGGCTGCTCTGAACAGGCAGACAGGAAGTGACACACAGCTGGAAATGCACTTCAAGCTTAAATCCTTTGTTGTCTGGAAGCGGACCCCCAGGTTTAAACGCTTATTTTTTCCAAGTGGCCACAATGACTGATCTCACATGGTCACCAAGAGCAAAGCCAAATTCCTGAAGTTTCTCCAGCAATTTTAAACACCAGAAAGCAAGGGTAGATCAACCAGGAAACCAAGGTGATGACCGATACTCTACAATGTGTATAAAATCCCAATCTAAGAAACCTGTCAATATCCTGTTTATGCCAATCCACAGGAAATTCTAAATCATCAAGAAAAACTTCTTGCCAGTTTTTTTAATTAAAAAAACTCTTAATTTTGTAATTTTCATACCACTTTTTTCTTTTTTATTTAAAATATTATAACCAATTGACATACTAGATAACATTGTTTACATTCCAGTGGTGCATGTTGAATGACTAGGGCATGAATGATTAAAAACCACAACAATGATCTCAGCATTCCCTACAAAGTGCCCCATTTTGATTCATCTAAAGGATAGGAGAGGGAATAGCACACGGGGAAGGGAAGGGAAGGAGAGACAACATGGAAAGGAAGAAAAGCAAATGTCAATTATCATACTTAGGCTTCCAGGTTCAAAAACCTATTGAACAGGACAGACTGTAATGAGAAAATAGATGTCACAGTCCAGGTAGACAGCTACTTCAGTTTAACTTCATCATTTGGCTAAAAGATTAACAGCTTCTCAAAAATATACCAAATATTGGGCCTACAAAAGTAATTTATTTCTTCGTAAAATTTACTAAGATTTACTCCTTTTGTAAAATGTAAAGAATGGACTGGTATCACGAGCAGGTTTGTACTTACAAAATAGACAGTAATAATGTCAACAAGCACATCTAACACAATTCTCCAAGATACACAGTGAAAGATTTTACATGTGTCTCTTACTGATGCAAGGTCTGTATTTTACATACTTACTGGTATTTTGTCAACATTGGCTATAAAGTATTCAACGCACATTTATAATTCACACTCAGTAAAGATCTAACAGTAAGGGCAACAGCTTACTTGGGAAAGCATAGAAAATTAGTATGAGGTAGTTCAATAAAAACCTAGTTTAATTTTAAGTCATTGTGAGAATAGAAACATTGTACAAAGCTAATCCACAGGTAATATTTCTCAGAAGTTTCAGTAATGCAGAGAATCTAAATCAGAAATGGCTGGAAGGTGTGACTCTTAACTACTCTCCTGAAGAGCACTTCACTAACAGCAGTCACTTTGAAATTAATCAGGATTTTTATTTTCCAATCTTACCCCAAACTATACATTTCCGCTTCAATGCCCTTTACATCTTCATCTTTCTTGTTACTTATTAAGGACAGATGAGTTTCCTCTGATTCAGGAAGAAGCTGAGAGAGATCAGTAGAAACACAATGCACACTGAAATGCAACAGGCTGTGGAGCAGTCACATCCAAGAGGGCTGCTAACGATGGAAGGTGGTGCTGGATTTCCTACTTACTGGTAAGAGAACTTCACCGGGGTCACAGGGCATCATGCATCCACTCTATAGCTAACGTGCGACTAATGGACAACACTCACAAACTACAACAGTACACTCGAAAAGAGACTTTTTACCCCACAATGTTGTGCAGGCCAGTGCCCAGGCAACACTGAATACAGGGGACCCTTGACTTATGAACTCAATTCGTTCTTGAGGGCTGGTTGTAACTCAAAGTTGGTCAATGAAGGCTCAGGCTCCTCTACACAGCCTTCAATGTCTCTCTCCTGTATACAGGCAGATCTCAGTATCCTTAGAGAGACATTGGCCCAGGATTTCTCAATTAACCCCACACAGGAAAGGATGTTGTAAAATGTTCCCTCCAGAACTCTTTAAGGGTTACATCTGTATCTGAGACCATCTGGAAGCACAAGTGGCCGGCACTCAGGTCATAACTCAAGACTTTGTAAGTTAAAACTAAAATTCAGGTCATAACCCAAGTTGTTCGCATGCCAGGCCAGTTGTAACTCGAGGGTCTACTGTAGCTAAGTCTTCCCTCGGGCGACAGATACTGGATGACAGTATCAGTGAAGGTGAGCTTGGGACCCAGGAAGCAGCTTTGCGTGCCTGCTGCACATTTCCCTATTGGACAATGGTGTCCTCTTGGCCTTCATCTTTTTGGACAATACAGCAAGATTAGCTGGGAATAGACCAACGAAAGGCTTATGGGAAACTGCTGCTTTGCACACCATCAAGGATCTCTGCACCAACCCATGGGTGCACAGCAGCCTTCTCCTTAAGAGGCTGTATGTCTTAGAGGCTGGTGTGAATGAACTGTGCCTCCAATTGGGAAGAGTGTGCACCAGAGCAGTCAGCAGCTAAAGGTGCGGGACCTAATTTGTATGGTTCAGCCAACAGTAGGAAAGAGCCTAGATGCTCTACTTCTGAGTACTACAAGCAATCCCGACAACACGACTGTTCCAAGTGGCCAGTGTACATCAGCGAGTCAGAGAATTGTTACCAGGAAACATGGAGGTTCCCAGGGTCTCTTTCCTAACCAACAACATTGAATGGCCAATCTCAGTTAAAGTAAGTTGCTGCCACTAAGATAATGGGTATATTGTGTACAGAACTGAAAAGCCAAAATCATATGAAAAGTGGCTAACAAACTTCCTGACATATGTGTAATTTAAAAAAAGTTTAAGATGCTTTAAGACTCTAAAACAAAAAGTACCATATAAACTTAGTTTAACGGACTTAGGTAACAGGAGAAACTGTATTCAGACAGTGTATTTTAAAAATCTAGGGCATGCAACATTTAATAAACAGACTTTGTTTTTAGGATATAATGTTAGGTATTTTAGTTTATAGTAAGCACTAAGATCATTTTCTTTGAATTCAACCGAGACATGATAGTTGGCAAGTGGGAGCTGGCATGTACAGTCAAAACACCTGGTTTTCCTTGCTTAACCAAAATCTGTATCAATAGAGATGGCTTATTAGCAACCAAATATAAAAATCTTCTGAAAGTATGTCAGCTGTTAAAGTGCAATAGTGACACAATCTATCTTAGAGAAAGTAAAGCTAATTCACTGTAAAACTAATATGAAGTAAGAATACACTCATGCTAAGTTCTGCTAAAACCATGAATCCAATTCCATTTATACAACTCAAGATATTATAGTCTCAAGATGCTAATTTACTTAATAAAATTAATGCACCATGTTGTATGAGTAGAAAAGGGATTGATACAAAGGCTGGGAGGCTAGAAATCACAACTTCAAACCATCAAAAACATACCCTCTATTTCAAAGTATATAAAAAGGCTAATGTATTTTAATCTTAAATATTGCACATTAACAATGACCTAAACACTTTAACTCAAAAGGAATTTTTCATTAAGTATACAAATAAAATGCCAAGCAAACTTTCAGGCATTTGTTGAGCTGCACCTGCTCTTGCTCCTGTTGGTCATGAACGCCAACGGTTTCTGCCTAGAACCTTGCCGCTTCTGTAAGAATGCACTTCCCAGTTCATTACATGAAATCCCTCTTGTTCCAGATGTAACAAAAGGTGCCTGGGGCCATTACAGACAATGTGTTTCAAAAATAATAATGAGACATCAATGACACTTTACTCAGGAAAAGTTCAGTTATAGAGAAATAATTCTGCAGATATAAAATGTAAACAGTTAGCACACACTTGTCAGGAGCAGCACCATTCTTACACTACTCAGCGTCCACACTGCATGTTATATTGGAAATCGAGTATAACAAATCAAAGACTCAGACTAAATAACCACCACTTATGCCTGCTCTGCTCAATGTGAATAAACAGTCCTTAGAAAATGATATCCTATATATGGCTGTGTGCTACTATTTTCAGATGAACGGTATATTGCTCATTTGATACATCACCTACACAAATCTAAGTAGGCTCTGGAACCTCCTGACAGCTAGTATGTATAAGTGATTATGCTACAGGTAGAATCAAATGGCCTAAAACACCATGAGAACTGGTGCTCAACTGACTGACCTCCAAGGAATAGGAAAATGGAAAGGCCCAAGGGCTGGAGGCTGCAAGAAAGGGAAAGACCAGACTCTAAACCACTGCTAAGACCTGTAGTCTGAGATTAACTCAGTGTGTACAAAAACAGGCTCATAGCTAGTTAAGTGAACCGTCTGTTTATTTGCATTGAAATGTACTATTCATGAAGTATCCTCTTGACTTTATGGGATAAGCTTTGAGCATGCCACAAATTTGCAAAATACACCATAATCCGTGACTTTTTTGTTGGGTGGGGTGGGAGACTAAGAAGGTAGTGGTTGGTGCACACCCAGCATCTTCAAAGACATGTTCTGAGTTATTCTGCCATTTAGATGATGGGGCTCTGCTGAAATTCAGGTAGGATCCCTACCTACCAATTACTGGAACTAAACTAGGATTGGCAAGTAGCAAATATTGGAGGTCTCTCAACACGTTCATCATTTACAGTAGTTATTCCTGAATATAACTGGCTACAGGTTATTTTCCCTCACTCCTCTAGGGTTATTTCACTGATATGCACATAACCCTGAAGGATAGCATCATGAACAAAACATCTGAAATAAACTCTAATAAAAAAACTATAAAAATCTTAAATAATTCATGATATAAGCAAGTCACCAAATAGTTGCTTTGATAAACAAAATCTTACAAATTCAGTAAAAAAAAATCAGCAGCATAAGATAAAGCAAATATGCAAAAAATTTAAACCACGATAAAAATAATTAGGTTTACATTATACAATTACAGCAAAAAATACAATAGAGTTTTGTTGCTGTTTTAAAACACAACTTAGTTTTTAAATTACATCACTTGAAATTAAAAAAAATAAACTACTTTACTACAAAATGAATTCTACAGTTTCTGAAAAATCACTCAAAAATAAGACCACTGAACTGTTTTCAAAGAAGTTCTATCAATGACTAACGGATTCCCCAACCCTCCCACCCCCCAAGGCCCAAGTAGTCATCTACAGCAGCCCAGAGGTCCAGCTGATGCTTCTAGACTGCTGTCGGTATCCGAGGCCAAAGTCGGATCTGTGGACATTGAAGACACATCATTGACAGATGATGATGACGATGGATGCTGAGAGCCATTGATCACTGCTGCACCTGTGCTATGAGAAACAAAACAGCAAATTAGTTGCAGAGAGTTGCAGGCCAAGCTACCTGCACTGTCCTGTGTACTCCAGGGGCCAAAGTGATTGTTCTCTTAGACTCACTAAAGACATCCACAAATGATACTGGATGTAACACTTATGAACACTGTTCTAAGCAAGCTGAGATGAGAATCCCGAACATGTCTAGACCCCTGGAGTCCTGTCCTTCCCACTAACTTGTTTCAGAAAACAAGAGAATGAAGTCCTAGTCACACTTGGAATTGGTCCTCTAGCACAATCCATGACTGGGCGAACTTGGTGACTAATAAAGTTTAAAACTACTGACCTACAGCAAATTATTTTTGGTATCTTCTCATGAAAAAGGGTAAGTCCAGACAACACTTCTTGTACATCTTGTAAAATAGAAGCCAACATAAATAATAAATTCATTTTCACTGAAAGGGACCTGAGTTTTATTGCCCTGGTTTACGTGAGCTTATGTGACTTGCCAGGGCAACTAAAGTACCCTAGTTAGGTAAACTCAGGTCTACTTATTTTTATTCTAAAAAATACCTGACAAATACAAATATGGATTTATCAAAAAATAAAAATTAACAATTCCCAATGAGAAATGTAATTGTGTTGTATACCTACAATGGACCAATAAAAGAATTTAATACAAAAAAAATAATAAAGATTAGGGGCAAAGTAGTACCTAGCAATTGTTTCCCAGATTGTAAAAAGTAATAGGAACACTTGACCTAGAGAGGTATCCTTTCAAGATGTTGGGCTGGAAAGCATCGGGGAGGGCAGGCAGGTGGTGGGGGATGTTAAAGGCTACTCACATACTATGTAGGACCAATGAACCAATCAACCAAATAATGGTCATTACAAATTTGAATAATATAAGTCATACAACAGTTCTCAAGAATACATTTATGCCACAAAACAAAATTAAACCAAACACAAAAGCAGAATTTCTAAGGATGATCAGGTACCCAATGATGCTGCAGCTGAAGAGGCTGAAAATCACCGCTCCTACACCCAGCATCTCCATGTTGGAGATCCCTTATCCTGCCTAACGCATGATGAGCAATAAAGCATTTAACTACAAAGGTCCTCTGAGAGGCTGTCTTCAGATGGAATGCAGAAACAGGCACATCCTTGGGGTAAGGAGAGGGAACTGGGAAGCAGAAAGGAATGGAACCACAAAGGACAGACTGGGTGCTAGGAGCTGAAATGGGAAAGGAAAGCAGCCTAACAAGGAAAAGGAGAATGGGGAAGACCTCTGGGCCTTGAGAACAGCCCACCAGGTTCCTAGCAGGGGCACACATGAGCTTGTACCGTCTCTGTAGTCGCAGCAATATGATCCTATTAACATAGCCTCTGCTGACTGAACAGTGCAGTACATACTGTACTACATACGATATACAGTGTACCATGGCTGACTTCTGAGAACTGTACCAAAACATTCCAATCACAAAAAAGAATTCTACTGCACGTGTTTTTTTTTTTTTTTTGGTACTGGGGATTGAACTCAGGTCCTTGCGCTTGCAAGGCAGGCGGCAGAATCACTGAGCTAAATCCCCAGCCCACACATGTTTTTTTATACAGGTCTCTACCTCAGGACCTGCTCATTTTATCCAAAATTTTTAATCTGGTAAAAGTTAAATTTTAATACATTATAATGAGTTAGCTTTTTAATCTGAAAATCAAGTACCTAAGAAAAAGAAAAATAACTGTTTTCTCTAAACTTTAAAGCAATACAATAAATTCTCAAATATATAAACAGTAATAGCGTGGAACATTTTTCATCTCAGGTATCTGGGTCATTTCCTCCAAGGGTGAGTCTTCTCACACTCAAGACAGGCCAACTCACTTAACCCAAAAGGTACTGGGTTACAACAACCTATCCCATGCTTTTCCACTAAAAACTTGTACTTAAGCATAATAGTAGCTGGCTGTACGTCTCAGTAGCTGTGCCGGGGATACAGGAAGAAATCTTTGTCTTTACCCACTTGGTATGATGTATGGCAAGGTGTGTGTATATGTGCAAAAGTGTCAAACTGAGACTTTTATTCACACATAATGTTCCATCTAGTTTTGTGTTATGTTTACTTGAGCATCACGGGGGTAAAAGACACTCACACCACTCTTCTGTTACAAAAACATGTATTTATCATAACGGAATGTGGGTGTGACTCACAGTAGCTGTGCCTAGGAAAAGCAAAAATCTATGCATTCAGCCACTTGGCAGATGAATGGCACGGTGTGTACAGAAGCTCAAAGAAATAACAGGCCAGTTTTACCCATAAAATGATTAATGCTAAATTTCTGTATATTTAGGATTTGTTTTAAAAGAAGCTTTCTTTTTGATCTGGCAGAAATAGCCCCATTCAATACAAAGGCACATGAAAAACCAGATTTTTAAGTTTCGGAGGAGGTCAAAAGTGAATCATCAGATTACTCACGCATCGATGAAGACGCTAATAACTTTGACGTTGGCCATGTGAGCCAAAGTTCCTGTGACAGTGAAATGGAGCTTTCAAGAAACACCTAAGTTTGTGTACCTTTATGACAAAATTTACATTATATGCCTTGTCTGGCAAATTAAAGCCAAGATAGGTGGGCAATACACTGGGAAAAATAATTCTCATTTAAAAAAAATCAAGTGAGATGGTACTGTGATTATCTGATACTTTTATTGAACAGACTGCTCTTTCCACTTCTGTATGGAATCAAGAACTGACTATTTTCATAGTATTTTAATCTAACAGTCTTCTTTGCCACGTAAGAGAGAATCCAGAATGTCTAGAAACCTGAAGCCTTATCCACTGACTTATTTTGTAACCCTAAGTACTATCTAGTATTCACATTATTCATTCCCAAATTAAGAAGACACGCAACTACTCTATCAGTGCCATGAGATCATTATCATTATATTTCCTTGAACAGATGACATACATAGGATGTATGTACCACTCACTAGGATGGCATGCCAGAGTAGGAAATTGTCCCAAATCCCACCTGAGCCTCCATCACAAACAACTCATTTACACTATTATGCAGCAACACAAAGCTAACCATATTATTAAACCACTTATAATACAGCCTTTTGTTATAAGTGAACTGCAGAGAAAAGACCATTTCCAAAATAGGTAAAAGCTGTCAAAAAATCAATTTATATTTTCAACCTATATTATAGAACCTATATTAGATTGAGAAGACTGCATTCCTGATTAAGGATTTAAAATATAAAACTCTAATAAAATATAACCTAAAATGCCAAAGGAGGCCACCAAAATTATTTAAACAAGTATGTTTCTAAGAGAAAAAAATGGGCATGTGAAACTACAGTTAAGAAGCTTACCCATTAATTAAGTGTTAGTGGGGCTTGGGATTTAGCTCAGTGGTTCTGGCGCCTGCCTCGCAAGCGGGGAGTTTGATCCCCGGTACCAAAAAAAAAAAAAAGTGTTAGTTTATGATGTCCATTTTTTCTTAAAATGTAGATGAATTTTAGAGGGATTAAAATAGCATAGTTTTGCCCCAAATCATGACCAATTTCTTGAAATCCCTCTAGGCCTTCAAAGCTCAGCTCAAATTTCACTTTTTCAATAAACCCGTTCTAACTTCTAGAGCAGTGATGGCAAACCTTTCAGAGCTTTCAATGATATAAACAGTCCACTGAGGCACATGTGCCATAGGTTTGCCATCAATGCTCTAGAGCCACAGACGTCTCTGCTGCCAGCCAGAGGGAATATGGAATGCTGGGAAAAATCATATGCTATGAAGTAGTTCTATCAGTTCTCCTACACGACAGATCATCTTACATTACCTTTCCTGAACTTTAGTTTTCTCATCTCTAAAATGTGCATAACAATCCCTATCTTGGGGTCTGGGGTGGGGGTGGTGAATGAAATAAAGTATGAAACCACTGGTGTCTGTCCTTAATATATACACGTCACCTGCCATTTAGCTTTTCCTCTCCATTCTTTTTTTTTTTTGGTACTGGGTATCGAACTCAGAACCTTGTGCTTCCGAGGCAGGCGGTGGCACCACTGAGCTAAATCCCTAGCACTGTATATTGACTTTTGAGAAATCTTTTCTTTAAAGACAAGGCAGTAATGCCAGTGGAAAAAGGTTTTAAATTTCTGTCCTTCAGCGGAGTATCAGTGTTAGCAAAAAAGACTTGCATTTTTTGCAGTCAGTTACCCACATATCAATTGTTAGGCCAATAGTGTTCTGATGCTTTCAGATTTGACCAACCAGATTGTAACTTGAGTAACAGTGGTAGTAAGTATGCAAAGCACTTCAGATTTCACAACACAAGAAGTAAACTGCAACCTCAACCATGCTTATATTGTAACCAACCTAAAGGAGAAGGCTGCCCCCGGATAACTCCATTCTTGGTTCTCTCCTCTAAGTCCATCACTTCCTTGTATATCAATTCTGAAAAAGAGATGGGTAAAATGAACTTTGCAAAGTCTAACTGCCAATCTTACAAGACATGTACACTTTAAGTCAAAATTTTTAAACACACGAAGTACTTCAGATTCTGCCTTCCCATACCTGACAATCCCTATATGTCAACCTGAGATTCATGGGTGTTAATAACAATTCCTTGATCCTTTACCACAAATTATACTGAAATAAAGTAAATGTTTCTCAAGTTGATTTAGGGCCAGAGCTGGGGTTAGAAGTCAGGGAAGCTTTATCTGTTTATGCTGCCAGCACCCTGTACCACAGATGCTCATTTCATTGTTTCAGTCAGGGCTGGACCTGTGGTTCTTCTGTTCATTTCCACTGCCTGAGCCCTGGCACACTGGAGATGCTCAACCAGGTTATCTGTCACAAAGATTTAAATCAAAGTGTATGGAAGATTCTCTCATCAGACTGGAATAGGAACAAAATTCGTTAAAGGAAGAGCAGTAAGTAGCTATGCTCAAATCTTCCCAAGTAGCCCAACACAACCTGCTGTCACTGCCAACATTCTGATTTTGCTCTCTGAAGGTTAAGGACCATGGTGGACCACACTGAGAACAGCTCTGACAGCACAGAGAATAGTACTGGCCCCAGCCAGGGTCTTCTAGGATATGTCAAGTGTATTGTGCCTTGTGATTCTCATGTCACTGTCAGAATGACCTGCTGGTAAATGCTACCTCATTATTCATCATCTCTGGGTCAGAGTCTTTTAAGAATTGTATAAAACCAGTGAACTTTGTTCTGAGAAAAACATGAACCAAAAGCATTGCACAAAATTTCAAGAAGTCCACACAATTCTGGAAATTCAGTTTCTTATAAAGAATCCCTGATTACAGGGTCTGACAACACTTATGCTGGTCATAAGGTGAAAGTGGATGGATATGTTGGAATGAGCACAGTTCGCTTGCTATGGTAACCTTGGGCTTAGAAGGACAGAAAAAGAAAGCTTGACAGATGAAAGTGATGCTTTTTATTTTTTCAAAGAAACAAAAAAGAATGATACATATTCCAGATAAGAGGATTCAAAAAAGTAAAAATAACATCCCTTTGTGAAAGGAGATGAAGACACAAGAACCAAAGCTAATAGAAGTACCAATGAGGCAAACAATCTGTAATTACTGGCTTTGGCAGTGGAATTTTCCTTCCTGCAATGATATGATGAATCTGAAATACCATAAATGTCTACTGTAAACCAATGGGATATGAAACTGGCAGATGAATATTTTAATAACTACTCTGATCCCGGGTTACAGCCCTGTGGACTACTCAGTACATATGCAGATGCACTAGGCTCAACCCAAGCCTTTCATTCTGCTAGGTCCTATCAACCATGAGTCTCCCAAAGTCAACTGAGAGAAAATTAATATCTAGTTATTCCTAAGAAGAAAGAATCAAATTCATTTTTTGCCAAATAAATTTATCAATGGGTTTGGTTCCCTGTTCAGGTTTTTACCTCCTCGTACTGAGAAACTTAGTTTTTCATAACAGGTCTTCTGCCTCTACTTTAAGGTGACAGAAAAAGGGGTCATGTGTTTTGCCCAAAGTCACATAGCTAAAAAAGTGGTCCAAACACTAAACGACAACAACACAGATGGAGATAAACAGGTCTAAAAGTTACCCACCTAAAATGTCCCAAAAGATCTTTAAAGTATATGCAATTTTGACATTCCCGAGACTATCAAAGCATTATTGATGTTCACCCACATTCATAAAACAGAATAAAACTACATTAGATGTACAAAGACTAAAAATTCAGCCCTTCTGTTGGCGAGGGTGATGGTCAGTAGACAGACACCCCTCTACAATACTGAAACAAATAGAAACTTTGAAAAACAGCTTTTGGCCCAGCACATCTCCTGGGACTGTTCTCTTGGGCATGTTCTCACATGTGCACATGAATACCACAGAGCTGTAACAGCAGCAGACTAGGCCCATCCCGAAAGGTACTCTGAGAGGGAGCTGGACAGAGACTGTGACACATGTATATAGCACCACACATACCAGATATCAAACCAAGTGAGGCAGCTATGTGGTCCAAGAGGGGTCACCTTCAAGGTACACGACTGTAACACCATAGCAAATGTGAATAGCATATACAGTATGCAAGCACTTGTGGTTATACAAATATACTTGTATAAGCACAGACTATGGAAAAAAATGGGAGAAAGCACTAATGTGTCTATGTCTAGGGTGGAAAACTTAGAAATTAAGATTAAGTCAGGGAAAAAGAGATCCACTTTTGTAAAAATTATCATTACTATCAGCTATGTTGGTTGGGTGTTTGAGATGGTGTCCCACTATGTTGCCTGGGCTGGGATCTAACGCATGACCCTCCCACCAGTCTCCAAATTAGCAGGATTACAGGTATGGGCCACCATACTAGGCTCAAATATTAATTATGAAAACAGAAAATAGGTGGCACACACCTGTAATCCTAGCTGCTCAGGAGGCCAAGGGAAGAGGATCAAAAGATGGAGGCTAGCCTGGGTAACTCAGCAAGATTTTGTCTCAAAACAAAATCTTAAAAAAGGCTGGGGTGCTGCTCAGTGTTACAGCTTTTGTCTCACATGCAAGAGCTACTGGTTATAATCTCTAGGAACAAAAACAAAACAAAACAAAACAACAGAAAATATCATTAATTTCCCTAACATGAAGTACAAGGAACAAATTATCACAAAAATCCAGAAACTCAGTTTTCTAAGAAATGTGGTAGGTGTTACCTTTCCACTCTTCTATTGTGTGTTCCCTTTCATCTAACTGTTTGTCGGGGATCTTTGGTGGTGGCTGAAAAACACAAGGATGTAATAATTCAGTCAGTTTCCTGGAAGTATATAAACTCTTAATAGCTACCCAAAGGCTTGTAAAAATGCATCATTAAGCCAAGACTGATCAACTGTCAACAACTTCCTTATGTAGGCTAGTTTTGTAAGACTCCTTTTATCGCTCAAAAAAAAGATGTTTACATTTTTCTTTTCTTCCAACTTGTGAAACTGTCATACTTTATTTCTTGCTGTACTTTGGGTCCAAAGCTAGAATGTCCCACAGAGGTCTTTCTATTCCAGCCCATCTAACCAGGTGTCAAGGCAAGAGAGGGAAAACAGTGCAAGGTGGCTTCCTTGTCTAGGAAGTGCCCAGGCACACTTGGTAGCTGAAGGTATTCTTCATGCAAAAACAGAAAGGCATCATCATCATAAGTCTATTTTCTTTTTTAAAACGAAAAAGTCTCCTCCAAATCAAACTTTAATTCTAACCCTAAGAACACCGAATGTTCCTCTAACATTAAGAAAAGGACTCACAGCTTCCGCTTCGGAGGGATCATACCAGACATTGATGTATGGGTGCTGGAGTGCTTCATCCACGGAGATCCTTTTAGATGCATCTATTACCAGCATTTTGGATAACAAATCCCGTGCCTGACTGGCTGCAAAAATAATCATGTTAAAGGACACATTCATAAGGTTCTCAAAAATTATCAGTAATATTTAGGAAACTCAAAATTATCTTTTAAACGTATTTATCCTCATGTTTTAAAATTATAAACCCAGGTCATATATATGATTAAAAATATAAAATTAAAGGTAAAAATAACTAAAACTTTACTTTGTTCAACCACCTAGAGATAATTTTGGTTTATATCCCTTATGAACAAACACACACACATTCACACAGGAATTTAATATATACATTTGTAAAAATTACCTTTAAGTTTGTTGTGTTCTGAGTCAGCTGGGAAAAGTACATCAGGGAAGAGTTTCTCAAAGCTATATCCAGCATATTTAGGTCTGTTTTCAACATAAGTCCTTACTGTTGGTTGTAGTTTCTTCATGAATTCAGGACATGGTGTTCCAAGCTGTTCAATAACTTTATTCCACTGATCAATATCTAATATCAAGTAGCTAAGAAAAATACTCCATATCTAATGTTCAACACATTAGTCATACCCATATTAAAAAATATAAGAATATGGAAATTTAAAGAGTCCTAAGCAAGAATGTGGCAGTTATCAATTTTATATTCCACAGCTAACCCGTAAAAGCCAATGACTTTAGGTAGACAGAAATAATCAATAAATAAGCTTTGCTAACCTTATTTATTGTGTGTGTACACCATGTGTATATTAATACTAATTTTACCATCAAATGGAATCCTAATCTCACAAATTCTGAATATAAATTATAAATAACTCAAAGCCAAATTATCATTATTATCAGAGACTCTAAGTGCAAACAGTACATATTTCCAAAACACAAAACTTGCCCTTTTTCCAGCTTATTAATAAGAGAAATGTGAATATATGTACTGCAGAATGAGGAACATTTCTATAATCTGTCTTGCGTTTTAAAGTTCTCTACATTAACACAACTAGCAACAAAAAGCATGATTTTGATAAAAGTGGCATTTCCTTTTGCCATTTTTTTGATTAGCTTATGTTAATAAAATTTTTTTAAAGCTCTGAAACTTATAAAAATATTCAGTATTTCAGTAAATTGTAAGGTTAGGACTCCCTGGTTTCATTCCTCCTAATCTTTACATTCTAAGCCTTTGAAGCCTTAAGCCTAAACTCTTACAGTAACCTAGTAAATACTCCCACTCTTCCTCTACAGCAATTCTAAGTGTTACTTGTTGATAAGTGTATCATTGTTAATTTAAATAAAAATAGTCAGATGAACAAAAGGCACAAATCCAAATCTAATCATTACCATTTAAAGCTACTACTGCTGAAATTCTCACACAAAAGAATCAGTTATGCTATGTTCAGTAATGAGAAGAACAAGATAAAAACACACAGAACATTAACAAAAAGAAGGTGGAAGGACAAAACAAAAGATAGCCAGCAGCAATAGGCAAATCCAAAATTCACGTGAAGTCCTCAGTATACCCAAGTGTGTAATTATTAGAAATTTTTAATGCAGGCCATGATTTTTTATTTAGGTTAAAGAAATCAACTCCAAGCTAGCAAAAAACCAAAACAAAACTGGATAATTATACTTGAGCACTTTTCAGAATTCACATATGAAACAATAAATGAAGGAAAGTCTATGTCAAATTGTAGGTGGTATTTTGAAAGTGTAATTTAACAGTACTTTATATTAGGGAGAGGCAAAATACATTACACCTGACCAAGCTGAAGTGCTGTCATACATTTTGACCTTCATAAACTACATTTTAGGCCAAAGATAAGGATACGATCTGTACCTGGGAACAAAACACCACCTTTGATCATTTCTCCCATGATGCACCCAACTGACCAAATGTCAACTGAAAACAAAATGCAATGACATTAACATAAAGATTTTGGTTAAAATAAAAAGAAAATATATAAACATTAAAAAAAATCACGCACGCCATGTATGTTTTAAAATCATAAAAAAGCAGTATAAAATAAAAATGAATGACAGTGAATGTGCTCTAACTACCAGCAGAGACTGTATGTCCTACTGCCAGATGCAGCCTACAAATATTTCAGCTTCTTATCTCAACAATTTTTGAACTATAACAGCCACAAACTTTACATCTATTTAAAAGCCTGTATGTATGAATGTAGCATACTCATTTTCACTGGAGAACAGAGGGAGTTCATCACCTCACTAACTGATCTGCTGCAACAGCACAAGGATACAGTCCCTTCCTGGAAAGAGGATTTTGTGGCAAACCATTTCGCCCATAATGCACCCCACAGACCATAAATCCACTATATGTTTGCAGCACAAAAGAAGGAAAAGCAAAGCAAAAGATCATTAAAAATCAAAGAAGCATAATATGATTGCATTATATAAAAACTGCAAAACATCATGAAAAGAAAAAAAGTGATTTTAATTTCTGCTAATGGAATAATTTAAAACAAAATATTTTTCAAAAACCTCTGGTTCATAAAAGAAAATGTAAAATGTGACATTTTAACTACAGATCTAATTTTAAAGTGAGAGCCATGCACAGAAATTGCACAAAGTAAAAAACATATTTCACATGTGAAACTTTATAAAACATGAACTAGACCCAAACACAAACTTTATAAAGATAAAAGTGTGTATACAGTAGTAAAATTATAAAAATAAAATATTATTTTGAAATTCAACTGTGCATTATACTCTTTAAAGAAAAAAGTATGAGCAGAAATAGTTCAGCATATAAAATACTTAAGAGAAACAATGTCTCCATGAGCAGTTATCATAAAAAGTTAATTTCTTCATAAATTTTCAAACTAGATTTCATAAAATTAAGAAGCACTATATCTATTCTGAAGTTGATTATTTTCTTGACAACATCATTCTACATTTACCACAGTCTCCCAAGAGCAACAAGTGCACTGAGAATGAAGAGCTAACTTCTTATGAAAACTTAGGAGAGGAGGAGTTAATAATAAAAGAGGGGAAGATAGTGATTTAAAAGGAAAAGAGTTAGAAGCTTGGATTTGGGTCTTGAGGTTTTTTTTGCTTTTTGTTTTTTTGGTATCGAGGATGGAACTCAGGACCTCGTGCTTGCCAGGCAGGCTCTGTGCCACTGAGCTACATCCCCGGCCCACTTGAAGTTTCTTTAGGGGCACAAGAGGAAAGGGCAAGGCTAGCTGTTAAAGAGATATGCTCTTCACCCATGTTGGAGGATTTAGGAAATTTAAGCCTGTACTTTCTAGCACACTCCTTTCTGTAAGGAGAACGCCAGCTCACTGAAGAGTCTTAAGAGCTAAACTGGGAGTCATTTTTGGAAATCCCAAGGAACTGAAGTTTCCCTAAAATTTCATACTAAAATGCACACAAACCTTTTTATATTTATAGAATGATTTAACCTTCAAGGATGAAATTTTAGAGGAAAAATTAATATTCATAAATCAGTTCACCAGAGAATGATCTCTTTCAATTTTCCTTTTTGGTAAACATCTATTAGAGTAAGTTTTTTTGTTTGTTTTGTTGTTTTATAGATTGCATACAAAACAGCAGTCTAAATAGCCAGGACATGACTTATGCTGGGAATCTTCAGAAAAACATAGTTTTAAACAAGAAGGTCTTGAAAACTGCAAGTATGAGAAGAGATATTATCTGGATCAATAAAGACTTTCATATACCATAACTTTTATTCATACCCAAACTTAGCTTTAAAAGGGCTTATTAACAAGCAGCTTAAAATATATTCAATTCATCCCACATTTTCCAAAATGATCAGAAGCAGCTTGGGATAAAAAACAGTTAAAACAAATCTGCTGTTAACAGGTGTGAGGGTGTCACTAAAAGGTGGAAATACTTACATGTAACCCTGCTGGCTAATGTGTTTATTATGAGCAAGAATAACATTTGATTCAGTAACCTGGGGAAGGGGTAGGAAGCAGTATGATGACTACATAATTCTTATCCAAGACAGGACAAGACAACAACTTGGTAGGTGACAGTTACCATATTTATAGGACACTGATCCTTTATGTACAATCACCATCACCAGAAATGCAAAAGCAACCTTCATGGTGGTCACTCATCAACACTCAACAAACTTTCAAATTTTAGGTTGAGAGTAAGAAAACAGAATAGCATGCTTACTTGAGAATAAAAGAGTGACAGTGACAGCCAATGTTTAAAATATTATATTTGATTTGAGTATTTCAAATAAAAAATATATGCTGACCGTTTTCCTTGTATCCCATGCCTAAGATGACCTCAGGTGCTCGGTAGTAGCGAGTCACTACGTAAGGTGTCATCATGAAACTTGTTCCTGCAGTCCTAGCCAGTCCAAAGTCAAGAATCTTCAAAGTGCAGTCTGATTTTACTACTATGTTACTGGGTTTTAAGTCCTTCAAAAAATAAAAATAAAAGATTGCTAAGATATATATTTTGTAGCTCACAAGTTATCCTGTCACATTTTTCTCACTATATCAGTGCACAGATTCATCATAAACAAGCAAGCCCGAGAAATGTCATTCTAAAAATACGTGAATATAATATATCTATTAGAAAAGTTAGTAATGTTTATTTCCTGGAAACTACTATTAGCTAGAAATTTTTGATCAAATAGAGTAAAAGAGACTTGGAATGGTATCTTAAGCTCAAATAAGAACCACTATAATAAAACAAAGGGTCATAAGTTAATATTTATTTTCATTTGAATACCAAACAACTAGTATTTCAGAAATTTGTTTTAAATTCACAATAAGCTTTTACACACATTACAAATGAAAAATGGGCCATCTTACCCATCATGGCATATATTAGTTAATCTTTCAGACCAGGAAATGTTCAGCTCCAAAGGACCAAAATAGTTATTGGTCTTTCTATCCCTGACTTTCCACATGAATGCTCAAAAACCTGTTCATAAAACTTTTTGTCTGCCTGTAGAGGTATGACACTGTCACTTTGGTCCCAATGGTCCATACAATTACTTGCTGCTGATACTGCTAAATAATGTCTTTATGAAGAACTGTCCACCTGACCCCAAACAGAAGGAAATCTGTGCTATCCCCATTAATAGGAAGGCAGGAGCGTAAATACTCATGGCTTTATGATCAACATACTCTGCCTGTTAGCTCTGACGAATCTACTGTGAACAAAGGAGAGAGAAAGTACATTCTCATAACATACATACACTGCATACATCAGTACTACATATATTAACACAAAAGGGAAAAAAGTTGGCCTGAAAAACAAAGATTATTTTTGTAATGTCTACATCCAGAAAAGCATGTATGACGTCCTTAACATATTTTAATAGGCAACTATGGATAAATTTAGAAGATATATATAACCTAATAGTTTTATGAAACTAAATACGCAAATACCAACAAGCAGAGTGAAAGAGACAGTAAAATTTTCATTGTTCCTCTTCTGTGGGCATAATGTTGCTAATATTTTAAATACAATATCTTAGCAAAAGTAACACCACATATTCAAGAATAAACAGGGCCCGGGATTTAGCTCAGTGGTTTCGCTGCCTGCTGTGCACGCGCAAGGACCTGAGTTCAATCCCTGGTACCAGAAAAACAAAACAAAAAAAAGACCAAAAAAAAAAAAACAAAAAAAAAACCCCCAAAATATATCCTCATTTTATTCTTGGGCTGGGGATTTAGCTCAGTGGTTTTGCCGCCTGCTGTGCAAGCGCAAGGACCCAAGTTCGATCCCTGGTACCAAAAAAAAAAAAAAAACAACAAAAAAACGAATAAACATCATTGGGGCAGGGGATTTAGCTCAGTGGATCTGCCACCTGCCTCGCAAGCACAAGGTCCCGAGTTCGATCCCTGGTACCAAAAAAATAAATAAATAAATATCATAAGCCCTGATACTACTTCAATGTCTATTTGTGATGACTGCAGATCACTGGGTCTTCATAACAGTGCGTTCTAGTCTGGAAATAAGATTGCAACTTTAAACATTTTATTTTGGAAAATTAAGAGCCAATACAATTTTTTATAGAAATAAATTTCTTGTCCTAAGAAAAAATAAATTACCAAAAAATGCCTCAGACAACTGAAATTAATCCTTGTATATAAATATATTATCGGAGCTAGGTAACACTGCTAGCTATTTAAGAAAATGTAACTTGAAATTTCCATGAATCTGTGGCAGAGGGCAGTGGAGCCAAAATAACATTCCATCTTCTCCCCAACATTTTTTTTCAGTTTCCTTAGTTAAGCAAAATCACATGAGCAGTTCTCAACAATGGCATGGGAACAGGGCACAGAAAAGAAGGACAACTGCACAGCCCCTGTGGTCTCATCCCTTGCTCTGAAGATTAGGAGAGCCCAGACAGTGACATGCAGGGAGCCTGGGTGGTGAAGTATCTTTGTAAGCAGTCTCTTCCCCCACTATGACCTGCACTGGACATGTACTGAGGAAAATAAACCTTAGTCATGATGTACAGCCCCCAAGAATTTAAGATCTGTTACCCCTCAGCCAACCCTACTCCATTCTAACCCTAAGACTGGTACCACAAATAGGCTCTAGCTACATGCTGAACAGCCTTAACCAGAAAATCTGAAGTCCGAAATGCTCTGTACCTTCTGAGTGCTAACATGATGCTCAAAAAGTCTGGGATACTGGAGCATTTTAGATGTTCAGATTAGGAATGCCCAACCAGTAAAGTCCACGCAATATTTTCAAATGCAAAAACATTTGAGACCAGAAAATCTGAACCACATGTGGTGCCAAGCATTTCAGATATTAACAGGTGAGCAGAAGGAAAACTAATATCAAAGGTGGAAAAGTGATCCAAAGTAATCCAAAGTATCAGTGGCAAAACATTCCATGATGCTGTCACCTGCACAACACATGCATAATGAACCTGAAGCTCTAGAACAGAGATTAGCAAATTAAGGCCTGCCTGTTTGTGTAAAAAGCCTAGTTCAGTTGGAGCCTCTGGGCGACCATCCAGCCCTAATCCTGACTTGCAATGAACCCCTAAGGGATGAAAGATCAGGTTATTTTATTAAGAAAGTAATTCCAGAGGCAAAGGGTGAAGTCAATCTAGAACGAGTAGAACAGAAACATCACAACCAACTGTGCCCTCCAGACCTGCTGCAAGAGCAGAGGCTCTAGTTTATCACCTTAAATGTCTTCAAAGCTGTTTCAGGAAAAGAGACCAAACAAAAACCTGGGAGGAACAGTTTCTAGAACTTACTGTACAAAGAAAGCGGGAGCATCAAGGGTGTAGTTCATGGTAGAGCACTTGCCTAGCATTCCTGAGGCCCTGGGTTCCATTCCCAGCATGGGGAAGGGAAGAGGTGAGAAGGGGAGGGGAGGAGAAGAAGGGAAGAAGTGGCAGCAGGCTCTGTGGCACTTGCTGTCCCAGCTCCTGGGAGCGATGGCTGGTGAGTCAATAAACCTCCCCAGGAACTGTCCTCACCAGAGGCCATGCTGCTTCCTGGGTGGTGGCTGGCTGAGTTGCCATCTGAGGTCTCTGCAGTGACTGCATCCAGTTCAATTTCTCTGCCTGCCCACTTTTACTTCCTTTACTCCCCATGAATGCTGACCCTAAGGAGACTTCCAGATAAACTCCTTAAATTCCTGTCTTCATCTTGGATTTTCCCACATTATCCAACCTAAGACAAAGTTCATCACTGCTAAGAGACCCTAGTATGTCTCTTAGTAACTCAACTGTATTACATTAAGAAATTTTCTATAGCTGTACTTTACTTTCACTAATATACTCCAAAACATAGGAGAGAAAGGAATACTTGCTAACTCATTCTGAGGCCACATTACTTTGACATCACACATACACACACAAAAACAAACTACAGACCACTATCACTACCAAACACAAAGGCCAAAATTCTCATGAAACACTGGTGAAGCAATTTCAAACACATATTAAAAGGATCATATACAGTGACCACATGAGATTTATCCCAGAAATGCAAAAGTAGTTCAATTTACAAAAACCACCCAGGCGTGGTGGTGCACTCCTGAAATCCCAGCACGTGGGAGGCTGAGGCAGGAGGATCACCATGAGTTTGAGGCCTGTCTGGGCTAAACTATATAGTGAGACCCTGTCTCAAAAAACAAAACAAAACAATCTCCTACCTTAAAAAAAAAAAATCAATCAATGCAACACAATTAATAATGAACATACAGGTGATCATTTCAAGTGGTGTAGTAGCATACACTTGTAATGCCAGCTACTCAGCAGGCTGAGGGAGAAGGATTATAAATTCAAGTCCAGTCTAGGTAGCTCAGCAACTCAGCAAGACACTGTCTCAAAATAAAAACTAAAAAATGCAGGGAATGTAGCTCAGTGCAAAGTTTCAGGGTTCAATCAACAGTATCAGAAAAACAGAAAAAAAGAAACAAGCTCAATACCTTCTCACGATAAAAATACTTCAATGAGGAACAGAAGACATGTAGTGAGAAATGATCTTATAAAAGGAAGGTCTGACCTTTGCCCTCATGTACAGGTGCTAAGCATCTGAATATCCTGCATGGCAGAGTCTCTGTTCTCATGGGGGCCATTGGACAGGCTGACAGTGTGGCTTATGATGGGACTCATCAATTCAACCTCAGCAGAAAATGGAGACTAAAGTAATAGCATGAGCCTTAAGAAAGGCTGGAAACTAAAAATCAACCAGGAAAGTAGTATGACAGAGGCCAAGTTAAAAACATCACAGGTCTGGTGAGCTTCTCTAGCAGGTAACAGTTTGCATCTTGTCCTGCTTCATGGCTGGCAATACTCTTGAGTGTTGTGCTCTGTGGCTAAGAGTATTCTGCATGTTGTAATGGTCTGTGGCTGAGAAGACTTCCATCTGGCTGAGGGCACAACTGAAAGCTCCATGTTTGGACTTCTCCCAGATTTTTCCCTGTGAGTCCCTTCCCTTTACTAGTTCTAATTTGTATCCTTTCACTATAAAACAACGAAGTACAGTACTTTTGGAGTCCTGTGGTTCATTCTAATTAAAGACTGTACCCTGGGGATCTGGTCAAGACTACTGAACTTGTAGCTAGCTGTCATGAGTGAGGGTGGTCCTGGGGACACCGGACCTTGTGGCTGATGTATTACTAAGGGCAGAGCTGTGGGGTCTGCATACTCTGGCTATACAATGTGACTAACTCTAGTGAAAAGGGAAACTTCTGCAATCAGAAAAAGCACACTTAGGCAAAGCCCACAGTGAATGTAACACTACGTGGCTGCTATGGCCTGGCTATGGTTTAAGTGTCCCCCAAGGGTCATGTGCTAAAGATTCATTGCCAGCACAGCACTGCTAAGGTAGTGCAACCTGTAGTGCAAGCTCGTCAGGTTAGTGGGGCACTGCCCTGGATGGAACCAAGGGTAGTGTGAGTGAGTTAGCTCTCCTCAGAGTAGGCTGCTACAAAGTAAGGCCATCCCACATGGATTTTCAGCCTCCAAAACTGTAAGCTTAATAAACCTCTTTTCTTTATAAGTATGCAGGTTTGGGTATTTTGTTACAGAACCAGAAAACGGACTACTATAATGGTGAAGACTGAAAGCCTTACCCTTAAGATCAGAAATAAGATAGAGATGTTCATTTTCACTACTTCTAGTTAACATTTTACTAGAAGTTCTGGCTAGAGCAGCTAGGCTAAAAAAGGCACCCAAACTGAAATGAAACAAGTAAATCTAAGGTGCAGATGATATGACCCAAAATCATATACAGAAAATCATTTAAATCCATTAAAATGCAGAGCTAATAAATTTTGCAAAGTTGTGAGACAAGCTCAACACAGAAAAATCAGTTGTGCTTCTATATAGTACCAGTGAATCTGAAAGGAAAACAGGAATACCATTCCATTTATAATAGCTGCCAAAGAAATAAGAGGCCAAGAAATACACTAAGATGAAAGTTTTGTACATTGAAAACTATAAAACAGCCACACACGGCGGCACACAACTGTAATCCCAGCACTCTGGGAGGCTCAAAATAGAAGGCTCACAAGTTTGAGCCCAACCTGGGCAACTTAGTGAGATCCGGTCACTAGGTAGGGATGTAGTTCAGTGAAAAAGCCCTGGATTCAATTCCTACTATTGCAAACAAAAACTATGAAACACTGCCAAAAGAAATGAATAAGACCACATCAAGAACTAAACTGTGTCCCCTCAAAATTCTTATGTTAAAGCTCCAAGTGCCAATGTTGAATGTATTGGACACAGGGTCCTTACAAAGATAATTAAAGTTATAATGCAGTCATAAGAGACACCTGTCCAAATGAATGGTGTCCACATAAGAGAAAGAGATACTGAAGTATTCTTTACCCACAAAGGTACAGAGGAGAGGCCATGTCAAGACACAGCAAGATGGTGGCTGGCACAAACCAGAAAGAGAGCCCTTTAATAGAAACTAAAAAATTTTGGTGCCTTGAGCACAGATTTCTAGAATGTGAGAGAATAAATTTCTGTTGTTTAAGCTACCCAATCTGTATTATTATGGCAGCCCAAGTAGACTAATAAAACTTAAGAAAATGGAAAGACAGCCTATGTTTACAAATTGGAATACTAAATTTTGTTAAGATGACAAAACTATCAAGCAATGTACAGATTTAACAGAATTCTTATTAAAATTCCAATGGCCTTTTCTACAGAAATGGGAAAGCTGATCCTCAAATTCATATTCAATCACAAGGGGCCCCAAACAGTCAAAGCAATACTGAAAAAGAACCAAGTTGGAGAATTCATACTACTTCTCCATTTCAAAACTTACTATAAAATTATAGCACTAAAAATAATGTGGTATTAATATATAGACAGACACAAAGACCAATGAAATGAGAATCCAAAAATAAAACCATGTATCTATGCCTGATGGTTTTTACCAAGACCATTCTTTGAGGAAAAGAACAGTCTATGACAAACAGAGCTGAGACCAGTGCATTTCTACATATGAAGAATGAAGTTGGTCCCTTACCTTATTAGCATACACAAAAAAGAACTCAAAATGGGTCAAAGACCTATGTAAGAGATAAAACCATAAAACTCTTACAAGAAAACCTAAGTTCATGACCTCGAATTTGACAATGCATTCTTACATATGACACAAAAAGCACAAGCAACAAGAAAATTGAATTTCATGAAAATTAAAAACTTTTACATATTAACAGATAACAAAAAGTAAAAAGGCAACTTATGGAAAGGGAGAAGTGATTACTTCATCATGTAACTGACAAAATTGTGATCTACTATATGGAATGTAAATATGGTCATTATAATGACCATAACAAAAAGACAAGCAACAAATTAAACAACAAGCAAAAGACGTAAATACACGTTTCTCCAAAGATGACATACAAATTGCCAACAAGCACATGAAAAATGCTTGACATCATTAGCTGTTAGGGAAATGCAAATCCAAGCCACAATGAAACACTTCACATCCTAGGATGGCTAGACTCAAAGCCAGATACAAAGCAGTACTGGCAAGGCTGTGGAGAAACTAGAGTATTTATTATGTTGCTACTGCGGAGTAAAATGGTGCAGCTGCTTTTGGAAATAGTGCTTTGGCTCCTCAAAAAGTGAACCACCGAATTACCACATAGCTAAGCAATTCCACTTATAGGGTATATACTGAGAGGAAATGACAGTCAATATCCAAACACTTTTTTTTTTTTTTTTGAGACAGGGTCTTGCTATGTAGCTAGCCCAGGCAAGCCATGAACTTTCAGCAATGCTCCTGCCTTGGCCTCCCAAGTGCCGGGATTATAGGCATGCACCACCACGCCTGGCTTCAAATAGTTGTATATGAATTTGCATAGCAGTGCTAGGTATAATATCTAAAAGACAGAAATAACCCAAATGTCCATAAATGGACAGATAAGTGAAATGTGATACACAGAATATTATTCAGTCATAAAAAAGAAATAAAGTACTGTTACATGATACAACATGGACATTATGAAAACATTATGCTAAGTGAAAGCAGACACAAAACGTCATGCATCATATGAGTCCATTCATATGGAATATCCACAAGAAGTAAGTCCACAGACAGAGAACGCAGATTAGTACGGTATGAGGGGCTAGGAGAGAGGAGTGAACAGTGAGTACTTGAGGAATATGGGAGTTTTGCGGGGTGATGAAAATATTTTAGGATTTGATACAGACGGGAGCTGCATAACACTGAATGGACTAAGGGCCACTGAATTGTATACTTTAAAATGGTCAATTTGTTATCTGAATTTTACCTCCATGATAAAAAAAGCGTGCGGTGGTAGTTTATCTACTAACCCGATGAATAATTCCAGCAGAGTGAAGGTGCTTGATTCCACACAGCATCTGATAGAGAAGGTAGGACATTCTTTCATGATCTAGTTCCATCTGAATCACTTGGCAGAGATTGGCATCCATAAGCTCCATGACTATGTAACTTCATGGGTAGAAAAGGAAGATAGCTAAAGTGTACAGCAACAACCTAAGAATAATGTACCAACAGCATTTTGTACTAATAATATTCTAATTACCATACTTACACATCTTGAAATTCTTCTAGGGATTTCTGTGGTGTGAAAACATTCAAAAGGCCAATTATCTGTGGTAAAGCAAAAAGACAGAAATTAGAAACTACTTAATATTTCATTTGGGAACTGCAAATACATGGTTTAACATGTTCACAACTGGGCTATAATTTGTGTCTCACTGCTGGGTGGATTTAACCACCAGTGGTACATGTATGACTGTCCCACTGGGTGGCTTTTTATTAATTTTATTAGTAAAAAGACCAATAAAAGTGATTAGATCTATTTGTACCACCAGAGGTACAAGCCACCCAATACCACTGGTGGTTCAAGCTGGCAGAAACATGCTTAAAAAAATTCACTATCAGTTTAATCCTTCAAATTTTATGTTTTAAGCTCAAATAATCATTTTAATATATTAAAGCTTTATGGACAGGAATTGGGGAAGAGGAAGGAATGATTAGGAGGAGGTATAGAAGATCTTTAGGGCAGTGAAACTACTCTATATGAAAATATGAAGACAGAATATATCAAACCCATAGAATATATCATACTGAGAGTAAACCTGGGAGGCTGAAGTATAGCTCGGTGGTAGAATGTTTATCTAGAAGGAATGAGGCCCCAGGTTTAACCCACAGGACCATAAGGAAAAAAAAAAAGAGTAGGTAGAAGGTGAGAGAAGGAGGGAGGGAATATTAATGTAAACTACAGATTTTGAATAATTGTGTATTAATGCAGGTTCATCAATTATAACAAGTGTATCACTTTGGTAGGGGATGTTGATTTTGGGGGATACAGGTCATCTGTAGGGGTACAGGATATAAAATAACTCTTTGTACCTTCTTCCCAATTTTGCTATGAACCTAAAACTGTTTAATAGTCTTAAAAACCAACAAAAAACCTTATTAACACAAGAGTTTTACATAAACCTTTCCTCTGATGAATACTTTATTCAAATACTTATATTACAAAAAGCTCTACATAATTCGTCAGCAAATGTAATACCTTCTAATAGTTCTTGTCTAACTCAGTGTTTTTCTATAATTTCAGCCCTTTCCTCCTACTGGTTCCATTTTTAAATACTACTCTAATTTCCCAGCTTTCTTCATTCCCAATCAATTCCACTGATTTATCAACAGGCATACCCTCTTTTCTACTACTGTCTTTAAGCCTTTTCTTTTTTCTGTTTACCTTTTCCCTTCATGTCATTCATTATCTATGTCTTTTTCTCCAATCATCACTATGTGGCTAATTTCCAATATGCACTAAAAGTTTTTGCTTAGCTTAGGAGTTTCAGATATACACTTACACAGATGTCTCACAAACAGTATAAAATTGAACTCATTTTCATTCCTATCCAAACTTAATTTTCCACTGTGCCCTCCAGTTTACAATAGAAGATTCAGAGTGATTTCTGTCTACTCCAGTACCTGTACCATGAAAAATATCTGAAAGAATGCTATTCATTCTATTATTAGTTTGCACTTCAACTTCATTTTTCCATTCCCTGTGCTATTGTACAGGTTGAAGATTCTAAAATCTCTAGTGTGTTCATGCTGTAATTAATTAAACTACTAATCTCACAGGCTTAATATCTGTTCCTTCAAGATTCATATGCTAAAACCCTATCCCCCAATGTGATAGTATTTGAAGATGAGATCTTTGGGAGCTGATTACGGTTAGATCAAGTCATCAGGGTGGGGTTCTCATAATGGGACTGGTGAGGAGGAAGGGAGAGGGAGGAAAATTTCCACGCTGAGAAAAGGCCATGTGAAGATAAGTTGAGAAGTTGGCCACTGTAAGTTACTACCTTAATCCTTGACTTCTCCACCTCCAGAACTATGAGAAATATACCGCTACTGGTTAAGCCACCCAGTTCATGGTATTTGTTACGACAGCTTGAGTACACTAAGACAACTAGAGTCCCAAACAATGGTTTTCTGCAAATCCAGCTACCATTTTAATGCCTATAATATGGTAAAAGAAAGCCCAGAAAAGATCTGCCGTATTACTTTTCTCCTCCAGAACTTTAAAGCCAACAAATAAGTTCCAAATTCTCTCAGCAGTACCTATGACACCCACTATGACGGCATCAATTTATTTCTTTTTCTTTTTTTGGTAGCAGGGATGGAACTTGGGACCTTATGCTTGTGAAGTAGGCGGTGGAACCACCAAGCTAAATCCCCAGCCCAGGCATCAATTTATTTCATCTACTAAGTATTAAACTTGACATTTCAGCCATAATAAATTAGGTTCAAGGAGGGCATTTTAAAAAAGTTCTTGAGGGCCAGGGATTTAGCTCAGTGGTTCCGCCGCCTACTTCACAAGCATAAGGTCCCAAGTTCAATCCCCAGTACCAAAAAAAAAATGCTCTTGATGCCTTTAAACATACTATTCCCTATGCTTGTCACTTAATGAATCATCCAGATGAACCTCTTTTGTGGTCTGACAACCCCTAGTCCTTGTCAGTTGAATACTGTCTCTACTTTGTCCCCAGTTATCTTCCATCTAATTGCAACACTCACCCTGTACTGTAAGTCTGGTCTTTACAACACCTTTGACCTGACCACACAGGACTCTTGTTGGAAAGAACTGTGGCTTATTCACTTTTACAGCAATGAACCTGACATGCATTTTAAAAGTCTGCCAACAACTTAAAGACGGGAAGGTTTGTTTTTCTAAACATAAATTTCGTGAGGACAGAATCTATGCTATTCATCTAATGCATTAAGTCCTGCTTACAGAAGATATTTAAATATTTATTTAGTGAATAAACTCAGAAAAATAATATTCAGACAAGAAGGGTAAAAGAAACTTGCTTAAGACACAGAGAATGACAGTAAGAAAGAAAGCAGCTGACCACTCTACATAAATTTGGGTCTCCCCACCAGATGAACTGGATATGCAGAGACTTGGACAAGTAGTAAAACTTTTCACTGACATCTAGGAAATCCAAGAAGAGAAGAGAGGTGTTAAAAACAAGAAGCACAGAAATACAGCAATGAGCTTAGTTGTTGCTCAGAGCAAGGCAAGTATAGGAAAAGGGGAATGACAGCGGGGACACAAAGTTTCTTTCTGGGGTGATGAAAATATTCTAGCACTGACTGCAGAGATTGCCCCACATACCAGTGAATATACTAAAAACCATTAAACTGTATACCTGGGTGAAGTGTATAGTATTGAGTTATATATCAACTAAACTGCAATAAATAAGATTAAAGCAGTTGTCCTATTTTTTTCAAAAGGAAAAATAAAGGAAATTATAGCAATGAGAGATTAGACAGTCAAGCAAAATTCACAGATTGATTACTGAGTGGCATAAGGCTATGCTGATAGAAGTAATAATTACTATGAATAAGTAGAAATTCATTGAGAAGACATTTACAGTTTCCTTCTGTGGACAAGAAGAATGACAGCAGCAACAGATGAGTGAAACTCAACTGATACAACAGGAAGATTTTAAAAAGGCATTTGTGAAAAATGTTTCTAATAACAGCATCCATATAAATAAAATGAAGAATTAGGGAGAACTGGCAAATTTTGATAGACACCCAATTTTTGCAATATGTCCAACGGTTCCTTATGAATTCATCCAGCTTATGAAAGCATCCTGAGCAAAACACAAAGTGAAACCAATAAATGAAAAGTTAGACAAAGAAAAAAGCAATCTCTAATATGCAATGGCAGTGATGATGAACCTTTAGTTTTCAATGATACAAACAGCCCACTGTGGGATGTGTACCATAGATTTGCTACCACTGCTAGGGTGAATAAACAAGTTTCTCCTTTGAAATCTAAAAGGAAAAGAAAGAAGGTATAATTTTTAAAAATGGGAAGGATGTGACCTGTCAACAGTCTTTTGAGAAAAAATTACTTGTTAGACAACCCGAGCCAACTGGTGCCATGATTTCCAAATAAGATTTTAATGTCTGCATTACAAAGATCACAGATCTAAGCTGCTATCAAAGGATTCCATCAGACATGCAGCACTGTGTGCTAGGATCCTTAAAGCATTTTCAGAGATAAGTGACCAAGTTAAAAAAGAAAAACTCAAAACCATCCTTGAAAAGAGTGGGAAAAATCAGATACTTAGAACAGCTGACAGATGATCTGTACAGAAGATGAAAATATTTAAAAGACAAGACACAAAAACATCCATCTGTGAGGGAGTGGAAAAGCAGTTACCAACCTTGGTTTCACCACATTTATTTATATTCATTCACTGAACAAAATATGTTTTGAGCCCTCAACTGTGTTACTCCCACTAGAGGGTGAATGGAGCCATCTTTCTTGGCAGTCACACAGGCTTGGGAGGAAGGAGTTAACTGAACTCTTGTCCAAAGGAAAATAAAGGCAGTACCACAGAATCCTCATCATGAAACTGGTCATGAGCTATGAGAGCACCAGCAGCTCTATCAAGGGCAAGAGACCAAGAAAACCTTGATGACTAACACCTCTAGCTCCCACCTGGAACAAGAATGGTTACATAATTTCTCCACTGTTAATGACTAACTTTAATCTTTGTCTCTGGCCCTTTTCTATACATTCTTCCTCTCCAGGAGGTCCTCTTTCTTCAACAAGCCAAGGTTTACTCCACCTTTAAGAGTCAGCATAAGTCTACTCTTCCCCGAAGCCGTCTCAGTTCATTGAAGCTCACAGAAATCTCTCTCTAGAGATCTTGGCATTTACTGTCCTGTCCATCCATGATCATTTCAGAGTTAAACCATCACTGCACTGATATAACTGATATGTGTTTTGCCTTCAAAACAACAGTAAGCTTCCCAACTAAGGAGCCTAATTCTTTTTTTTTTTTTTGTACCGGGGATCAAACTCGGGACCTTGCGCTTGCGAGGCAGGCGCTGGAACCACTGAGCTAAATCCCCGGCCCAGGAGCCTAATTCTTAATGGCTATGCATTTTTCTGAGTGAAGAACCTGTATCTCCAGTACACAGAAGATTTAATTCTTAATTCTCAAAATGTGTTAAATTGTGTTATCTGCCATCAGAAAGTATCGAGTATTCAGTGTATTTCATTAATTCTTTTGGACAAACACCACAAAGTGTCTCTAGCCAGATGCTTCCATTTTAGTATTTTATAAAACCATCCCTTGCATAAATTCCTTCCTAGTTTATTTCTCAGCTTGGAGTGATCATTCCATTAAAACTATCATAAAAGTATCAGTATGCATAGTATAACTTTAAAAAAGTGTAATTGTTTATTATCAAAATAAACCAGATGAGGTAGCACGTTTGTAATCCCAGCACTCTGGGAGGCTGATGCAAGGAGGTTTGCAAGTTTGAGTCCAGCCTGGGCAACTTAGTGACTTAGAGTGACTCTACCTCAAAAAAAAAAAAAAGTAGGGTGGGAAAAAGTGATTTTAATTCTGTATCCCATATGATTTAAGTTCCAATGTCAAAGTAAAACTGGAACAATTTCATTTTTGTGCTAAGGGTAGAGTTTTCTGAAATGCCACCCTTACAGAGAACAAAAAGCAAAAGATGAGACCAATCCTGAATAAAACTGTTCTAAAATGCTTCTTTAAAACTCTTTTTGTAAATTAAATGTTACGAAATTACACAATCTAAGTTTCAAAAGCTATTTTTCTTTGGATATAATTTAATGGAGTTGAGAAAAATTCACACTGAGAAGAGATATGTGTGTGTGTTTATCCCTTTTAAACAATACTTTAATCTGGAAGAACAATTTAAAGCCCCTAATATTTAAAAAGTCTTTGCTATTCATGTATTCATGAATGAAAGTTGATTTGATGTATACTTAAGAAATTTAAAATATTCACTTACATTTTTGTGATTAACACATTTCATAAGAACTAGCTCTCTGTAGGCCCGCTTGGCATGAGTTTGATTCTGAAATGGCCGGCTTAGCTTCTTGATTGCAACATTTCTTTCCAGAATAGCATCATAAGCTGCACTGCAATAAGAAATTAAAAAAGAAAAACAGAAAACTTCAGCAAAAATCTGTAAAACAGAATTTATGAAACACTCATATAGATTCACTTTCTCCAAAGGCAAACACAATCAGGTTACTGTCCTGTCTTTGATGTTTGACATTTGCCTTCTGCACTTACCATAGCCCACTCCTAGAATGTGTAGCACCTGTCTCTTAACAACGGACTGTGAGGAGAAACCTGCTTATTCACTGTGCATCCTTCAGGCCCACCTTATACAAGGTGGGCACTGAATATACAAATGCTTCACATGTGCCTAGGTCCACTAGACAGCTTAAAGCCTAAAGGAGTTTTTCTTTCTACCCTTAAATCAGTGAAAGACAGAAAAACATGCGGCTAGAAATTCTACTCAAAATACTTACCCAAGAATTCTACATAAATATGCTGCTTCCATCCTTTTGGACACAAAATGAATATAGCAAGGGGAAGGTACATATAGAAGTATGTAAAGGTAAGATTATTTTGTAATTTAAAAACAAAATCAAAATCTTTAAAATTTGCTTTGGAGGAGAAACTAAACAAATCAATTGATAAACACAAATGCCAGATTTGAGGACATCAGTAGATGTTTGCTAACCAGAACACAGAGAGAGCATCACACTCATCTATCATCTTACTCCTTGTCTTCCTCTACCCCATGACACTCACCACTTGGCAGCCCTTTCACATACTGACAGGTCAGAGAAAGTGAAGCCCAAATAAGCTAACTTGTGTTTAAATTATTGAATTTTATGATTGAAAGACTTTAAAAACCATTTGGATTCACCACTGCTTACAGGGCCAGCAGTTGAGTAATTTGTGCAAGATTAGCCAGTAAGTTAAAAGCAAGGCTGAGATGAGAAGACTAAAACATGAGGCTGTGCTGCTCATACTAAACCATCCAGCATGCTAAAAAAGATGATTTGTTTGTGTAATATTTGAAAGGTCAGCTCACTTCTGATTAATGTGATTTCCTTACCTAAAACTCTGAATGTGTTTTGTAATTATCTTATATCAGACTTAGCACAGAACTACATGAATTAAGAAACTAGTACTAAATAAATGGATATATCTATACATTCTACACATACCAATACCATTGGATACAAATACATACACACACTAAAATGTACATAAATATTATAATCCTCTTTTAAAATGCCATATTTACAGATATGTCCTGTCAAAATTAAAAACAAAACAAAACCACACTGGGGGTCATGGAAAATTACTAGAAATTCTGAGTATCTTTAGAAAACACAAGTTTTATTTATAATTGTTAAATTCATTCCTATTAATAGTTTACCTGCTAAATAAAAGGAATATTTCAAACTATAAAGTTCAAAACAATGAGTGGATTTCACCATTTTATATCCAAGGAAACAAGGTTTTAAATGTTGATTCTTAAATGTGCACAAATCAGAAACAACTGGGGATTCAGAGGCCCTAATCCAAGTCCAGTGAATCTTATATTATGGCTGAGGTTCAAAGTAATCCTTTTTTGCCCCCCAAACTGAATTTTTTAGTTGATCATTATAATAACATATCAATGAGTTTTGAAATTTTTACATTTAATATTTATTTATTTTAAAGTAATCTTTTAGGGGAATTATAAAGTGAAAATCTGAAGACATTTATTCCTTAGGACAGGTACTAGTTAAGAGGATTTAAGGTCCTTTTCAAAGCAATGTTTATTCTTAATTCTGGTACACAAATTTCAAAGTACACTTCTCTGAGAATAAAAAGAAACATTAATAGGTTTTTAAATATCATAAGTGTTTCTAAATAGTGTAACATAATTCTCACAACTACTCTATAAATTAGGTAAGAAAACAGGCTCTGAAATGTTAAATCTGCCAAGAATCACAAAGCTAGTAAGTCACAGACGTAGAACCTGAACCAAGAGCGGGCTTTCAGAATCCTAATACTGACTTTAGAACAATATTTTCTTTAATTTATGGTTGGCTAATTGATCATATACTTAAAATGACAGCTAGAAAACGCAGTGTATAAAATGAGCCCAACTGTTAGAAATATGTTACAAGTAAAGCTCCTCCCTCTTCTCTATTTTCAGAGGTAAGTAAAATCTTCAGTTTGGTGTTCTTTTTTATGTATGATACCACTCATAAATAATGGTATTGTTTTGCATATTTTAAACTACAAATAGTACAATGACATGTGTATTCTGTTATTAAACTCAATTCAACATTTCTAATACTTCCCTTGTTGATACAGATAGCTCCAGGTCATTTAAATGTTGCCCAGTATTTTACTCTATGACCACATCACAATTTTTTATTCTCCTGCTGATGGACTCGATTCTGTTTCTGAGTTTTGCTACAGTACCTAATGGTGCAAAGAAGAGCTCTATGTGTGTCTCTCTGTGTACAAGTATAGAGCTTCTCTAGAATCTGGCCTAAGTGTTAGATCATAAACAGCACCTGTATTTTAAATAGATTTCAAAACAAATTTGGTTCAAGAAGAGGTAATATATAATTATGCTTAACTGTGGTTTACAATTCCCTCAAACATTAGCTTATTTTGCTAACTTAGTGATTTTGAATCATTAGTAGAATTATCCCAAGGAGTGTTCTACATTTCAGTTTATAAGGAATTACGCTGATTTATAAAAGCCTGGGCATTCTGTAGAAATTAGCTTGTAAATCAATTTTAAAGATATATATGAGTTTCAAAACACATACAGTGAGATAATATTAGCTGACTTCATTCTCCAGTGTAAAATAAAATTTCTGAAATTTCAGAGTTTCATTATAGTGTGAAAGTGAAGATTAAACGAGGCTTCTTATTAAATAACTAGCTATGGGAATAGATATATATATGGAATTAACAACTGTGCCAATTATTCTTTCCTGCTACAGATATGTCTCTATATGGCATATGATCAAATGTTCAGTCATGGTTTACACTTAAAGATAGTAGTGCTGGTTTATAGTTATGCTTTATGAATAATAATAAAAAGACCATTAATCCCTGAGGAAAACAATTAACCATGTTACAGCTTTCATTTAATTTTTATTATAGTTTTAATTTTTTGAGGCAACTTAATTATTTACCAAAGTATCTATATCCTGAGATGAAAAAAGGTAGTAATTAATGAATCTCTGCCTAAGTTTAGAAGTAAAAACTTACCATACTATTCCTTGAGCTCCTGAACCTATAGGTTTTAAATTCTGGTATCGTTTCAGGACTGTGAATGTAGAATCTCCAATCTCTACGCTATAAAAATTGTTGTCACGCTTGCTTCTGCTCATGATGGCAAGCAATTAATGGCTTCATCCAAAAATTCACCAAGTGGCTGCAAAATGGAACAAAATGTGATGTTAATCAAGTGAACTTGTTCAACTTAAAATCTGAGTCCTTACTATTTAGTGATATTAATACAGACTGTGAGGTCATGTTCAAAGAGCTGCTTCATTAAAAAATGCACTGAGAAAAATATCACAGAGCCTTGGTTAGCATATGCCATACTTATATTCATGACTGATAGTTTTTTTTAAAAAAATACTTATTAGAGTAAGTTTCTCCAATCTAGATGTCAATAGTATTAACACACACATAACTTTTAAAATAAAAGGCAAATAATTATAATTAAACATGTTATAAAAAGCACCTCCACAGTTTAAAACTTACAATCAGTTTATGTGTTTATTAAGACTACTGAAAGTTTTGATTTTTGTGAGAAATTTATAAACATTCATTAAAAATTGTTAACAGTCTCATTTAATGTTGACTAGAAGATCAGAGTAGTAAACTGCTTAGCACACACCACCCCTACCTAACAAACAAGGTGCTTTCACTGGATAGCTCTTCCACCCCACCACAACATCCTAGGGTCACATATATGCTGATCGAAAGTCTGAGATGTAGGGTAGAAAAAGTAGTATCAAGAAGAGAGAATGTGTGTGTATATGTGTGTGTGTGTGTGTGTGAGAGAGAGAGAGAGATTAAGTATATTAATATATGATACAAAACACAAAAAAACCCATTCTAAATATTCGGAACATCAAAAAAATACCATCTAAGTTCTGACTAGTTCTCTACCACCTGTCAAACTAAAA